CTTACCCACGACCAAGACATGTCGATACACGATGAGGGCTACTTCGAGGTCGCATCAACCCCGCCGTACACGCGCTGTAGGAAGGTACTTAGGCGGTTTAAGGAGAGGCAACGGGTTCACAAAGAGAACTTACCCGCGGAGAGTTATAGTAGAAGGTGTCGATGCCACCATTCAGAAACATGTTAGAGCTGTGTAAGGGACTTATTCGTGATACGAGGGAGAGAGGGGATGAGCGACGATGTCGAACTGCGGCGCGCTTTTAAGTCAAGTTCAAAGTCCGCCATGTTGAACTTAGCACGTGAGGCGACGCGCATCAGTCAGGCGCCGGTGGTTGCTTTGTTGCTAAGGGTATATATATAGAATGATAAGATAATCCTCTGGTAAGCGTATCTCAACAGGCGGTTGGCTTATCATAAATACAAGTCTGGTATTCGGCTGGTAATGCGATTGTAGACGTGCTAAAATAACTGGAATAAGCGCCAGCCACTACCAGCCGCGGGACAATTTGCTGATGTTATGCGAGGGGAACATGAAAGCAAGCACAACATTCACGGGCTGGACAAACCAAGCAGATCTAGGAACGAAAAACAATAATAATGTATTGGCCCAATGTTCCTAAATATGTACCATGCATGGGGCCTGTCTAGATAATTCGAAGTTAGTCTGACTGGGGCTCTGCATCTGTCCCGGGATCCTCTCCATTTTGGCTATGTCCCAGCATCAGAAGTTCCATACGTGGTGTCCCAACATACCGTGACTAACCTTTCTCCTCGCTCAGACAACTGTTGGGCTTTCAAGAACACCTTGGTGTCGGCACGTCCGGTCCGGAGGAATACTCCATAGAATACGTCCTCGACTCGTAGCGCAAACCGAACATCTTGTAGCGTCACGCCACTGACAATTCTTTCTCTTTCAGTTTTTGCAGAGGGATCTACTGCAGTATGGGTCCGCACTGAGACCCTGACTTGGTCATAAGAAAACCTGACCACAGGATGGTGCTACGCGACCAGGAAACATTACGGCTGCCCACAGCTGAATAAGATTGATGGAAATTGCGTACATTTTCCGTCTTTGCAAGATTTGCTACCATGTTGGCGAATAGGACGACGTCGTCATATTTTTTGAACGCATAAATCTTGAATAAAGTAGGGGGCGTCTGCTTGTACTTCCAGAAACGGCGGGAAAGGATAGGGCTATATTGTTCGGCTTCCTCTGTCGAAAGTAGCGTAGGCACCTTGGGCTTTGGGGGCCATGGTTCTACGTTCAACGTCAGATATGTGTCGAAGTAGGGCACGAGCTAGGACTGCTCACCGTGTCGTTCAGTGAGCTTGCCCGATTCTGAAGGCTCAGTAGTCGGCGTCGCACTGGGAGTAGAAAGACATCTGTATCCACTAACGAGGTGCCTGCTTCCGCCAATGCGGATTGGCTTAAGAGCGGCAAGAGAGGAAGCGGAAAGACGTGCCAACATATAACAGATGTGGAATCCTTGGCCCGCCGCCCTTGGGTTAAGCTTGCACTTTCGCTGAGCGTGCCGTGTTCGAGCGGCAATCTCCGATTCTCAAGATCTCAAGACTCAGGAGGACCAGATGGTACTCCGGATCCGGTGTGCAAAGAGAAAGGCGTAATACGCCACTGTCGACCATGAGCAGACCAATGAAATCTACGTAGCATCTTGAATATTAGGGAAACACGGTAGAGAACATGAGGATCTGTGTTTGCAGGATTCGACGGTTATTAGAAGGAAACAAGACTACTAATGTCATAAACAAAACAAGAGCACATGTACAAATTATTACAACATAAAGAGGTCCATTCCTTGAATCCTTCGTGCATATACCGGCAGCTTCGATGAGATCTCATAAACCCCGTATGCCACATGGTGGACGCATTGTTCTGCACTAATGAATGCGAACAGTGCCCAGGAAGGAGTAGTTCGGAACCGACCCGGAACAGTCATTCGCCTTGAAATTCTGTATGCCACCTCTTGAGAATAGCATACATTGCATCGTGGGTTGCTGTTTCCCAATCGTCGGCCAGGAAATTGTGAGGAAAAAATAGGCGTCGTAGTTCCAATAGGCAAGGCTTCAAGTCATTGAAGTAGGAATCGATGTTGGCCAGGACGCGAGACGTGAAGACCGCGTCGTTGGACATCATTCCCAGCTTCCGATCACCTATGTCTCGGTGGCTGCCCATTGACCACGTCGCAAGGACCGAACCCTCGACCTCGGCATCGCATCTTGAGAGGCCCTCTGGCCCCGCTTGGCATACAGCAATCCACAGTATTGAATAGAATAACGATTCGAGTTCCCAATACGGCTTGTATTGGATGTCTACGTCCGTTTGGAGCAGTTCATAGGCCATGAAAGGTACAGTGCCCTAGAGAATGGGTCAGCCTTGAAATCGGTTCACGCGCGCGTAACTCACAACCCTCATTGAAGAAATAGGCCACCCGCCGGCTTTTGAATAGCGAGCTGCGCAATCGAAGTCAATAAGCAGTCCTCGTCTCACCCCGGTACGTGTGGCGTCCGAGCTATCCGCACATAACATGAGGTTATTGACGCTGACGTCTCTGTGCAGTATCTTATAGTCGTATACCAATCCTTTATGTGCTAGGTGCGTGGTCAACGCTCCATGACTTACCTTGCAACTGCACAGACATGAGCACGTACTTTCAATGATATCCAGGAACCCGCCGATGAGCTCTTTCTTCGTCTTAAAGTGGATTATGGGAACAGCATACGGAGTCAGGACCATTCGAGAATGGACCCGGTTCGTCAAACAGGAATATGAAACCCGGTCAGCATAGGTCTTGAGGCTAATGGGAGGACGACGATTCATGGTGCTGTCCACTTCACCCATGAATTGAACCAGTTCGTGTGATACGAGCTTGGGGACCCCTTTGAGCTTGGCGATATGATTCAGAATTTCAGGTTCCGTGCGATGTTGTCGTTCTTTGACCCAGTAGTCTTTGATGACATAAGTCTCACCGTGGTGGGTCACCGCCCAGCACCAGGTTCCCCTCCCTATGAGACGCTCGGCACCGTGCAAGGCCTTCAAGATAGTGTAACTTCTGCTCTCGGCGTCGATGACACGAGTACCGTCTTGAAGTACTTGGATAGTAGGATCGTATCCCAGCCAAGTCTCGTCGCCGAAGAACAAAGCCAAGAGAAGAGTCACGAACGAGCATGGATCCTCGTGTGGGTTAATATACTCCGACGAGACTTGCCCGGCCCGATCAAAGACATAAAGACAGAAAGCCGTTTCAGCAAAGCCGACACCAATGACGTATCGGCGGTGATCTTGTACCATAAAGACTTCTTGAGCAGAGCCCGCAAGCGGAGACGCTTGGATCTCATCTTCTTGGCCAGACTGGCCGTTCATGAAGGTATCATGGTCCGATTGCAATTGCCACACGGATTGGACGCATTCCCAACTGCCCGAAGTATCCTTGTCCAAAGTCGCGAAGTCGGGGGTGAACAGACCGCCCCTCTCAGGTATAGCCTCGAACAATCGTGGCGGCTGGAACCCAAGAATAGAAGCAATGCGTTCGCAGAGGTCATTCACGAACTTGGAAACAGCCATCCGCTGTTCCTTCTTGGTCGGCGCGGACAGGAATGTGGGGTAATGTAGCCAGCCAGTAGCTCTTGTGTAAGCTGGCTCCCCGCCCGAGCCAAGCTCCCGAAGGATGTCTTCTGCTGGTAGCGGCAGCGATGGTGGCGGGAATGTATGCTGGATTAGTCCGGGATATCCCCTCAAAACGTAACCGAGTAGTTCTGTCGCCATGTCGTAGGAGAGAGAGCATACCCTGGAATATAGAGCGAAGTGGAAGCCACAGAGTGATGGTGGGAAAAAGAAGACGACGGCCACCAAGTTTATATACTCGCCACATTGTGGCACAGCAGCCACATCAACATTCTCCGCACGCCCGTATAACCAGAGAGACAGCACCGGTCAATTATCTCGTCACTGCGTAAAAAATTGAATCGAAGAGCGCTCAACGAATGAAATCGTCTCAAGAGAAAAAAGTTTGCAGAAGAAAGCGTAGCTCCGACGCGATACCGGCCACGCTCGCGACCTGTCACGGTTCACGTGCCGACGCGCTAAGTTGCTCGTCTACTAAGTCTTATTTGAGAGGCGAAGTTTCAAGCCTACCGACGCGCCAGCTGCAGGACGAACGCACTGATTGCACCGGTGAAGTTGATGCAGATTGATGGGTAAGTGCAGCAGAGGGAAGAAATTTACCAACAGAATCATTTGCTATACTGCGCCACAGGCGCTCTGGCTGAGAGAATAAGACGAGCCTAAAATCAACCGCTACGTTCTTGTAGCTGCCATGATGGGCTATGCCTTCATCCACCGCACGGGCAGGGCTCATCGCGAAGGCCGTCAGCGACTGCAACAAAAGCCATGACCGGCTTCGACACCTCCTGGACATGTACAACTCCAAACCGTACGATGTCCAGCTGCAGGACGCGACCGCGACGAATAGGAGTGTCGGAACGGACGGAATGTACGGAGGACCTCTGATACCAGCCGTCCGCGGGACTTGACAGGGCGATGTTGCCTGATTTGGACAGATATCATTGAGCAAGGACTCGAAGATGTCGCGGTCGGACAAGTGGAACAACAGCGGCCGTACCACATCGTCCCATTGGGTCCCTTTAATATACTCTCTCAGGTTCCTGCCAGCACTCTCATCTACGCCCTCCTGCTCCCCTTGTCGACGCTGAGGATATATCAACGATGTCGGCCGCTGTGTACGAGGCGACCACTTCGGCCCCGGTGAACATTGCTTGCATCAAGTGCGTATACTATTGTCTTGCTTTGGCGTAGAGTAAAGTCAATGAATCATCAGATACTGGGGAAAGCGGGACACCAAGCTCATCCTGCCGACGAACTCATCATTGTCGGTCACCCTCGATCAGGATCTCCTGCGTTCTACAACTACCTCAAGGGCAGATCCTTCCTTCACTAAGGATCGCCTATGGTTGAACGGAAAGGAGGAAGAGATCAAAGACGGCGGACGCATGGACAACTGCATCAAGGAGATGAAGAGATTGCGGAAAGTCCTTGTAGAAGACAAAGACCCGAATGCCCCCAAGGTACGTCCTGGTCTGATCAATGACTCCGTCCGTCCTCGTTCCTAACTTGTCACACACCGTTAGCTTTCTGAATGGAAGTTGCACATCGTCTCCTTCAATACCGTGCCGACGGCCGCAGGCCTTGCCTCGTCCGCCTCGGGTTTTGCAGCCCTCACAACTTCCCTCGCCTCGCTCTTCTCTCTCCCCCTCAACCCGTCCGAGCTTTCCCTCATCGCTCGGCGCGGGTCAGGCTCCGCCTGCCGCTCCCTTTTCGGCGGCTACGTCGCATGGGAAATGGGCTCGAAACCCGACGGCTCCGACTCCCTCGCGGTCGAAGTCGCTCCTCAGTCTCATTGGCCCGAGATGCGCGCGGTCGTCTGCGTCGTCTCAGGCGAGAAGAAAGACGTCGGCAGCAGTGTTGGCATGCAGCTCACCGTCGAGACGTCTCCTCTCCTGCAGCACCGCATCAAGTACGTTGTGCCTGAGCGCATGGAAAAGATCAGCAAGGCCATCAAGGAGCGCAACTTCGACGAGTTCGCGAAGATCACGATGGCGGACTCCAACCAGTTCCATGCCGTCGCGCTCGACACGACCCCGCCCATCTTCTATATGAACGACGTGTCCAGGAACTTGATCGCGTTGGTCGAGGAGTACAACCGGGTGTGCTTAGAGAAGACGGGCCATCTAGGGGCTGCGTACACATTTGACGCTGGACCCAACGCCGTGATCTACACTCTACCCGAGCACATCAAGGCTATCACCGAACTCGTCCTGTACTTCTTCCCTGTCCCCTCGGCACCGGCTGAGCGCTCAACCCAGGCTAGCGCTGTCGGCTTCACCGACGTCCTCAACATCTTCCCTGAAGTTGGTGGGAAACCGACCGGAAAGCTGATCCAGGGCTTCAATGAGGAGAAAGTCAAGAAGTGGGACGTAGGCGCCGTCAAGGGGGTCATTCACTGCAAGGTCGGCGACGGTCCCAAGGTGCTGGGCAAGGAAGCATCTCTCATGACAGCTGAGGGTACTCCTAAGCCTTTGTAGTTCTAGGATCGATCAATAGGGTATATACGTGGGATATCGGCAAAGATCTGTTCTTGTCTGTATTGCTATAACACTGATAATGGGAAACGTAGTAACATCGCAGCGGAGAGATATACCCGCCATATCGCAAGAGCGACGCTGGTGCATCAGATTCACAAACTGGAACGAACTGCAGTTGGTCCTGTCATGATCATCTGAAGCTTAAATTACGTTGAGACGGCATAGCGAACGCAAATTAATGTAGTGGCGTAACTGGATATCCTACCTCTTAGTCCCTCTTCAGTCCCGGAGCCACAGCACCAGTTAGAGTACTCGGCAATTTGTCACTATCGATTCCGAACAACAGTCCAACAGATCCCGCAATGAGCAGGATTAAAACGACCACAGTTCCAGTTAGGAGCACAAAAGGACTGATAGGGCGAAGACAATGTGAGCAACACACAAGGGTGTGGGAAGTTAGTTAATTACTCACCCGCTGACATCCTTTCTCTCGCACATCTCTCCTGCCCATACTTCCTGCTTTCCCTTCTCGCTCCTGGTAGCGGCACAAGCGCACACCCAGCACCCTCTTTGGCCGCCCGACTTGGCCGCTTGTACACAGGCGCCGTGGCCAGAGCAGCTAGATGTGCCATTCACGCAGGCGTCTTCAGTCTGGAAACATCTAGTGAATGAGCCGACGGGTTGCTGCGGTATAGGCATAGGAGTTTGCGACGGGGGAGGTTGGCGCCTGTGGCCCTGGGATGAGGTAGAGGGGGAGGTAATGACAGCCAGGTTGAGATTGGGCTTAGCAAGGCAGCTTTGGAAGATTGCGCTGAGGGTCTCCTTCGCGGACTTATACTGTTCGCTCTCCGCACCGTATTCCCGCCTGACCAGCTGCAGACCTTGCAGGTCGAAGGCGCCGAACTTGCGTTCTCCATCCTGAGGCTCTGTTTCGAGGAAGTCGACGAGAGCCGACATTTCTTGAATGTATGTTTCAGTCGCTTTCGTGGGCGCTGTTAAAGTCCATGTATCAAGGAGGCGGGGGATACCGAGAGAATACGTGTATGAAGGATGGGATGATGAGTAAATAGAGGTGTAGACACGGGCTGCACGGTTGAGATACCGCTCAAGCAACGAACTAGTGGACTGTCGCCAGAATGCATCCGAGGTGACGATGGAAGGCTGAATGGTCGAGGGAATAGCATCTGTGAGAGATACAAGCGTCGTGGTACTGAGTTCCGGTGCCGAAGCGTAACAAATGCTCTGCAACTAACCTTTGCCGTCCTCCTCCGCCATACTCACTAGGAGCGCATCACCGCCCTTCCCCACAAAGTCATGCGTACTGTCCATCTGCCCTAGCAACCATTGCTCATCCTCTTGCGATGTAGGTGACTCGAAGCATTCCAGGCCAAGATGGGACGAAAGGAGAAAGCCCGACTGCTCAGGAGCAAGCCGCGTTGGCGACGATGAAGGGTGCAGATAGACGTTCGTGGATGACTCAGCAAAGCCAATACCAGCGGTCAAGAGTAGATAGGTTGAGAGCGTCAGGCCGAGCATGTTGACAGAATACTCGAGTTCACTGGCTGCAGCAGCCGAACGGTGTCGCAGTGCCCGCTACAGGATGTCCTATTTGCGTATATTTGGCTTTGTGGCAGATTTGGCCGTCGGTTCGCGTTCATGTCACTTGTATTCCAAGCTTCGACATCTCCGCGCGAGCTCCTAGAATCTGGCCGAGGAACCCCATAGTAAGATTGAATAATTATTCCGCTCTACTCATGGACAGGACATCGTTGATCGTGCAAGGTGTCTGGCCGCTTCTCGATTTCTCCTGGCTCTTGCATATTCCGCCCCAACCTCACCAGTTACTCGCGCGAGCGTCTCGAAGTGCCATATGAGTCCTCTTACACCTAGACTGAGGCAAGTATGACCTCACAACAGGTCGACGAAATAGTCAAATGACCGGGAACGCTTGGCTATGAATCCATTCATTATATCACACCGGCTGAACGCATCTTCTAGGCCATTCAGTGGTCTGCTCATCTTTGATTTCCTTGCCTGCGGCGGCTCAAACTTGGATAGGTTCTATTATGGCTTGATCTAGCACTGCTCCGTCTCTCGAGGCTCGTCATTCCTCATATACGGAGCGACCTGCACACAGCGCCCTTCGTCGAATTGACGAGTCTTGTGGTTTACTCTGACCACCCAGCCTCCGGTCTCCATCCTCCTACAGCATGTCTCTGTATTTTTACGAACCGTTGTTCTCCCTTTCGGACTTCGATAGGCTGTTCGACGAAGCTTTCTCTGCTCGTACGCAGGGAAGTCCTGCTGCCGGACAACTGCAGCGCCGAGGCGATGCCTCAGACAACAACAACAGAGTGGTCAGGCCCAGGTGACGCTGCCGTCCTTGGGGTCATGACGTCCTGAATTAATGAATAAGTTTCGGCTTTGTAGAATGGACCTCCACGAGGACGCGGAAAGGAACGTTGTGACCGCTACGTTCGAACTCCCCGGCCTCAAGAAGGAAGATGTTCAGATCGACGTGCAGAATAACACACTGAACATCTCTGGTGAGACCAAGCAAGAGCAAGATCGCGATGAGAATGGCTATGCCATTCGAGAGAGGCGGTACGGCAAGTTCTATAGGGCCTTGCGCTTGCCCGCTGGCGTGAAGGTATCCTTCACTGTAGATGCTGGCCTTAAGAGTAATACGCGCTGACGAGGTGGCTTGTAGCCGGAGGATATCAAAGCTTCGATGGAACATGGTGTCTTGACCGTAACATTCCCCAAGACAACGCCAGAGCAGGCGCCCAAGAAGATTACTATTTCTTAAGTAGATTACGAAATACACAGCGAGAGAGAAATGTCATGCACAATTGGCAATGAACATTCATTCCTCGATTATTCTTTGGAGTTAGGAGCTTTACAAAGCTACGATTGAGTCGTAGAGAAGGACAAGGAAGCATGGGTGTCCTTACGATTCAACGCGAAGGCGGCTGGCTGTACTGGTTTTCGTGCCAACCAGGCTGGTAACTACTTCCCTCAGCTGGATGATTCATCAGATCGTTCATACTGCTCATATAAGCACTCCAATCATCGGGCCTAATAACAGTGAGACTTCAACGACGAGCGGACGATATTTTGCGTACGTACACGATAGTCGACGGTATGGTAGACCACATTGCTAGCACATTAGTGTCGAATGCTTGCGGTTGCTGGTGACGCGCCTGCTGATCGATGTTCAAGGTATCCTGATATGTCCAGGTCGGTAACGGAGCGGCAAAGGCGTCAGACTGCGAATATGTCTGCGACTGGGCCGTTTGTTCTTGACCTTGGGCGCTGGAGTGGAAGTATGCTTGATTACCCAACGTGCCTTGGGATTCACCCGCATGCATTTGAGGTTCATCAAACATATCCAAGGCTAAGGCCATGTCGCCGACCGAGAATTGACTGCTCTGCATGGCCTGATTTGCGCCCTGGAGGAAGTGCAGGGCCCCATCGGGATTGTCGTTGGAAGAGGCAGAAGTCGAGGCAATTGGAGTAGTCTGCGTTTTTTCGGCCATTCGTCTCGCAATGCGACTCGGGAAGTTAGGCGTCGGGACTTCCGGACCAAGAGCATACATCGATTCGGCCGTGGCATGAGACCCAAAATGGGAACTAGGAGCCACACCTCCGCTAGAGAGCCCTGACAATGGATCCTCGTAGGTCCCAGGCGCTTGACGCTCGCCGGGGGACGAGATGAATCCCGGAGCGGCATCGACGGTACTCCCGTAGAGAGAGTTGATCGTCACTCCGAAGTTACGGGGGTCACCACAACACGCATGTCCTGGAACACGTTCACCCGAATCGCTTGCACGCTTGTTCGACGTTCGCGGTGGCGGTAATGGAAGGTTCCCAAGTCTACCCAGGTCCCATACCATATCCCTGACGAAGAGGACTCAATATGAGTGGCGCACACGCAAATAGCATAGTGAGACTTACCAGAACGCGCCAGCGACGTGCCATCTACATAGGACATTAGCTTATGCCAAAGACTGGGGAAGCCGGGTTACCTGTTTTCATAGTAATCAAGAACTGCAAGCCCCTTATGTACATCCTGCATCCCTCTGTCAAGATCAGATGAGATGCCAGCGCGCTTGCCCCCTAAGACATGTAACAGGAGTATGACGCAAGCCGTGAATGTTGAAACGATAGTTCCTGGAATACAGTCACCTCGTCTTCGTACTATGTCGCCGATGTTTACAATGGACCGTGCCGCATTCGTGCATATGGCCATGCAGGACATTGCGAGCTGGGTGCCCCTTTTCGAGGCGCCTATAAACGGCCGGTGAATCAGGATTTGGTTGTAGTAGTAGGCGCAATGGAGTTGAGCAGATTGTCTGAAGAAGATTGGATTGCCGTCATTCGGCATCCAACGTACTGCATTATTGTGAGCTACCTTTACAAAGACGAGTAGGTCAATGAACGCACGGTGATCAGGTATATCATGAAACCATCGGTTTAGCGTCGAGTCCATATCAGCGACAGTGCGTTCTTCCCAGTCGTGGCCTATCTGCCCGAAGAAAGCACGGCGCCTTCCCGTGGAGTACTTGATGTGAACTTACGTTAGCTGATATTTTGGCAACCTACGGTCTTCAACGTACTATTGTTCGCAAGGCAGCGCCTGTTATGTTCGCCAACCTTAAAGTGTAATTGTAAAAGGTGACATATGTTGGTTTTCCAGGGGGCTGTTTGAATGCCCTGGTTGGGTCCTCATTCGTCCAATACTCATCGTCGCATTCCGCGGGCCAATCGACATCAATACTGCTTGCGAGACGTCAAGATTACAGGAAAGGCCGGGGCTTCGTGGCAAAGAGGACTTACTCCTCATCTTGCAAGGTGCAGGGTCTACCGAGACCAGCACTAATATGTCTTTCAGCAGCTACGAGAACCCTAATAACGACCTTATCAGCTTGGACCGTTGTACCCAGGGGAGTACTAACCAGAAGGCCCGTTTCCATGACTCGGTCTCCACCGTCAATTTATCTCCATAGAACTGGCGTCTGTTGGCGCCCACGTCCTGAGCCATCCTTAGACCTATCCCGATGATACTCCAAACAGCATGAGGTGCAGAGGAACCCAGAACGAAGAGAGTGATCAACTGTTGATATAATCACATTAACGTTTCAAGTTGCAGCTTGGATTAGCACATACCGGGTAGATCTGAAGATCATATAGACAGGGAGGTGCAACGAGAGACCTTCGAATCCTGCTCACTTGATCGAAGTAATTCCAACCAGCGGACTGAGGTCCGTCTGTTCCCTCAACATAGATTCGCGGGTCGTCGCTGAATCGGGACCCCATGGCACAAACCATGAGAAGAAGTGCTCCAAATTTAGGATTACGCAAGTGTAGACGATCGTGAACGTTGGCCTCGAATGTGGGGCGATGGACAATGGGAGACAACGCATTGACGTAGTCAAAATACAAGTTGATGAGAGCCCACATTAGATCCGGGTCTGGGAAGACGAACTCAGGATATTCGTCCTCATACATCGAGGCTTCCCACTATGCAAAGAGTACCCTGAGCAGTGAGCAAAATCGTAGCCTGCACACTGCACTAACCTTCGGGATAGTCCAGAAGTGCTCACGGCGGAAAGCACCGAAGTCGTGCGCGACGGCGTCGGCATTCGCCTTGGACCTGTAGTCGATAGCCGCCTGGATGAGTGCAATGCCACTCGCCTTCCCAAGGAATCGGTGACGGGTGGGATTGATCGACAATCGTTGAGGATCTTCAGTTAGCGTGTTCTGTAAGTATTCATCATCGCTGGGCTCGATCTCGTCCGTCAGGACTGGAGAGCGGGAGCCGCGTCTTGACTGATCCGGCCTCTCACTTGGGCTGGAGCTAGCGGTAATTGTTGCATCGTCGTGTGGACTAGTCTGAGCAGGATGTATTTTTCCTGCGCGATAACTTTGCTTGTTTAGAGGTCCGCCTACTTCTCGTTCTAGATTGAGATTCGGGCAATGCTGTGTGGGCGTCAATCAGCTTATCCAAGACTGTCAATAGTATGCTATACACCTTCCGCAACAACGCTTCTAGTTGTGCGACGCGGTTCTCCAACGTTTGAGTGTAACTACAGGACGGCATAAGTCAAAGGTGCATCGGCAGGGAGCCCTAATACTCACCCTTTCGGAGGTCCTCGTTTCTTTCAGTGAGGAGTCAGATCTGTACGATAATGGCTTGGAGCTTCCAGAGTAGCACAAGTTCTCACCTTCGCAACTTCACCGTAGGTACACTCAGTCTTGAAAGTGACGCAGTTGAGGCATTTCTCCCCAGGACCTTGGGGACCATCACCTGTAGCACGGAAGTTTGAATTATCACGAGTGTATCTTAAGTGAGAGTACCGCCTACATCGGACTACGAAGACACTATGTCAATTTCGGAGTTATGTTTCGACGAGCGCTATAACAGCGATGGGTCAAGCAGGGCTTACTTTTCTTGCGTCTGCAGACATCACAGGCGCGAGCAAGCTTTGTTTTTCTTTTCTTCCTATCCCGTACCTCCTCCTCCGAGCTGTACTGCTCCTGGTTAGACATTGTGTGGAGTGGCCTGTCGAATTGGATTCTGCACAGCTTTCTGGGGCCGGTTCAAGTTATAAGGACGAGACTTCTTGCAGGCCCCTTTATCGGCGTCGCGCACGATGATCACACCTGGCTACGGTTTCCGCCTGCTTCATTCGCAGTTTCAAGCGCATCAACTAGCGCAAATTTAGCGCATCACTTCCACTGCACTGCGCTCCTGATCGGCACATAAGACCTAATCTAGCTCACACCTTTGACGCCATCATCTCAACGATAGGACTTCCGAGGATTCCTGAACGTCGTTCGCCGTGTCCGGATTATCTAACTCAGCCCTCCTCGTGCTATTAAAGATCGAAGCTGTGTTGGAATGATAGCAGCCAGACAAGTGAGTGATAGCCACCCCGGTTTGATGACAACATTACTAATTATACATCGTCATGATACAGTATGGGTCGAGAAGAAAGGGTATGAAGGCACAGCAGCCCGGATAAGGTCAACAAATAGACATATTACACAGCACAACACGAGGTAGCGGCCACCACTACGGCCGTCGGCATATACGATGCACACACGATGAATCAGATCCTTCCTAGACCCTTGGTAGTCTTGTTCATGGACTTCGCCTCAGCCTGCTTTGCTTTGGCGCGCTTGGCACTGTAAGCAATCATAACATTAGTTTCCGGAATTTCAAGCTCCATAGGCACGAACTGGAACTTACTCTTCCTGCGCCTCACGCTCAAGCATCTTAACGTGCTCCTTGGCGTCACGAGCAGCGTAGCGTGCTTGAGACAGTGCACGCTCTGCGGCTCTCTCAGCCTCTTCGGCCTCGGAGACTTTCCGTCGAGCGTTCACAATGCTAGGGTCGCTTCCATGGCCTGATCGGTCGCTGGGGGAAGAGCTGCGCCTGAACCAACTGGAGCCGTTGGTCGAAGTAGGGCTGCCCGCCCTGTCACGATCGTGATTGGCATCCGTAGACCTTCGACCACTGAACATGCTTCCGCTGCGGTTTGGTGCGTCGTGATGGTCGTTGCCAACGAGCTTGGTGTCCTCGGAACGATGCGATTTACCGAAAAGGGGCATTACTGCCGCACGACACTGTTAGGCATGTGACGCGAGAGGAAAGACGAGGGACTGACCTGGCTGTTTATTGCGACGAGGGGTTTAGTGAGTAGGTTGGTTTCGTTATCCGTTGAAAGTCAGCAATTGGAAGTGTGGCAGGGGTGCTTTTATGGGCTCTGAGAGGTTTATACGTCAGTGGGGCGCGCCATACAGCTGCCAACCGTGCTGGCAAACCCCAGCAAACCCCTTGGGTGTATATAGGAGACCACCTCGCTGAAGCTCCATTTGGCTCCAGTTATGCGTCATGCGCGTGCGGTCATGCTCAAACGAGTCGACAGTGATACCCGTTTGCTCTGGTGCATCTCGGGTACTTTTATGACGGTAACAATCATAACTCTGCGCATGTATAAGCAATGAAAGCTACACATATTAGCGCCTCTGTTACTTACACGAGCCAGCCACAATTGCGGATGGTTGGCCCGTGCGTGGGACGTTTCGGACCCAACCTATGAGCGGAGTTTCAACTTACTTGGGTTGTCTTGAGAGTGCATCTTCTATAAAAGCGCTTGCCTTTCTCCCGCCCGCGACTCCTTGGAACGTTGTCGCCTTCGTCAACCGTTCGTCTAGCCACAATGTCGAATAAGATTGTGGTGAGCTGCTCACCGTGGTTATGCTGGTAGTAGTACCTTTAGTGACCTGGGTCGCCTGGAGCCTCCCATTTACCGAGCTATCATAGACGATGTCATCCATGCGATAAAACCAGAGTTCGATGAATACGGAGTTAGCGAAGAAGTTCTCGCTGAGCTGCATCATGTGAGTACCTGCGACCTGTACCTTGTAGTATTCTTGCCACGGACTCGGTGCTAGCGCACTTATTCTGTAGAAATGGCAGACGAAAGTCATGCAGTCGAATGTGGCAGAGTTCGAGACGCCGCCCCCTGCCCCACAGATGCCTTCTCATCCGTATCCTCCTCCGCATACCATGCATATGGTGCCACAGCATTATCCGTCGCCTTACATGCATCACTCGGGCCAGGGGCAGCAGCCTCAGGTGAAAACAGAACCAGTTGATGGTCGGTACATGCTGGGCCCTCAGGGCATGCCGCCGTACGCGCTGCCTACGTTGCCTGGCCCTCAAATACCAGGCGGCCCAAGACCGCCTCCCCAGCAACCTGGAATGATGGCGTTTCCGCCTGGCGCTCCTCCGGCAGGCGCTCGCCCGTATGCTCCTCCTGGTCCCCAACTTCAAGTAGGAGGACAGCAGCAGCAGCCTCAGCAGCAGCAGTCGCAACCACAGGCCCAGCCGCCTCAACGGCCCTCACCGCCTCAGCGCATACCACAGACTGACGGCCCATCTTCATCTTCGTCTGATTCGCCTTCACCGCCTCCCTCGCATGCTCCTCGATCCACGCACCCGTCGCTGCCCACTATGCCGTCAGCTTCTCAGTCCACGACTGCTGAAGATGACGAGGCCATCAACAGTGATCTGGATGATTCCGATACGGAGGAGGAAGACGAGAATGACGAAGGAGGTTCAGGTGACACTGATATCGTCTTCTGCACGTACGATAAGGTTCGTCACTTAAAATGGTCAACTTGGTCATTTTGGCACAACATCCTGATTGTTGGAGAACAGGTCGCAAGAGTGAAGACGAAATGGAAGTGTATCCTGAAGGACGGCATAGTCCATGTCAACGGTAAGGACTACCTGTTTTCGAAATGCACAGGGTGAGTGCCTGCTGCTCAATGCAGTCTGAAGGTCTGAACTGAAAGTTCTTACAGCGAGTTCGAGTGGTAACGACGCTCATGGAGAATCTTGGTACTCGGTGTAATATCTCATTTCAAGTCGATTTTGCATTTGATGCAACCCCCACTTGTGCATTCCACGAACCCCTATGTAACCGCGCACGTCCTCGTATGGATTCCGATACAGCAATACATTACATTCTATTACATCGCTCTGGGTCAGCTTCAGCTGCCGCCAGTCGACGGTGTCGGATAACCCATATCAATGGCCTTGGTTGAAGAGTTCATTGATGTCCCTTGGCGTATGTGCTCTACCTACGATCGCCGGCCTGCTCAACCCTAAGCTACAATGAGCTGCAACGATAGTAATCCATTCCTACCGCTTCATTATTCTAATCGAAATGTCGCATTACGCCGTCTCTACACTTCGCATAATTTCTGCATTCGTGCCAGTATTTCTCTTTTTCTCTGTCTCATCATTGCCTTCCGCGTCATCCTCTTCGTCGTCAGCCCATAACCATACCACGCCTTCGCCATCCTGGAGGTCGATACCGCGCTTTTCAAAGAATTCCGTCCATTGTATGAATATGCCCAAAGTGGGCTTCTCCATAGCGTCCCCATAAAAACCCAGAGTCCTTACAATCTCCAATGATGGTAGATATTTGCGGCGGAAAGACTTAAGATGGTAGATCGCCTGTGAAGGATGAGGTCTCTCCGGCGATATGGCTTCACCTGACAGCCCGCGCAGGCCGACGCGACGTAACGACTGATGCGGGGTGGGTATCCCTTTGAAGTCGATTACGTGCTCATGAACATCGAATACGAGGTCCTGTAAGTGCGTACAGACACCTGGCATGAGGAAGCAGGCAATATTCAGCCGATGGGAGGGCAAGACGACCGTGTGTGGTGCGTCTGGATTGGCATCGTCGGCGCTGATGTACATCGGGGACGAAACGACTTCGAGATATGTGATCTTCGGGCCGTGGGCCTCAAGAAACGCGTCCAGATGCTCCCTACTCAGCGGAGTCACGATTAACCCGAGCTCATCGAAGTTCCACAAATGCAATGGCACTGGGTAGAAGTAGGGGACTTCTACTACGACATGGGTGAGGGACGGGAGAACCAGGCTAGTCGCGGTCCGTAGCGAGGACTCGTTCGTTGTCAGCAGCAGATGTGAAAGACGGGGGAGCGCTAGGTTGGGTTTGCCGTAATCTGTCTCATTCCAGCCACCGAACTTCCGCAGGTCCAGGGTTCGTAGGGAGTGAAACGCCGTAAGGAATTCGGGTGTGAGAGTACAGACATCGGTGGACCGTGTAGTGAGCGATAACGAGTCCCACTGGAGAAGTTCCAGCTTGGATCCATAGAATCGAGGGAGCGCAGCCATCAGCCACCGTGGGATAGGTCTGTCCCATGTTCCCGAAAGAATACGGACATTGGGGCAGCACTGGAGGATGCGGTACAGAACCTCTGCAAATGTCATAGTGTCAAAAGTGCGGATGTGGGCATGTACTTCGATGTGTTTCGTCCATTGGCCGTATTCCGACACGTCCACTTCAATGCCGTTTATGGTGGCGCGCCGAACGCTGTTCCTTAACGTCGAGCATATTTTAAGAGCCCGGCGAAGACTCCTGATGACCAAATGCTCGTAAAGAAGTACCGTGGCAAGCTGCCTCCAAGCACGGCAGACGAGGACGAGGCTCCATTTCGTCCGCATCGAGAGGACCGGGGTATTTGCTCCCATCGCCATCCTCGGGAATCGAGATCGCTGGAACGGGTCCGCAGGTATGATATTATGGCTTTCGGGAATGTATGTCGCATACTGGAATATCAGAAGCCATATTTCCGGCGGAATATCCTTCTCATTCATGGTCCTTGACTTCTGTAACTCCGCGGAGCTGAGCAATCCAAGCGCGATCCTAGGAAGCAATATGTCAGAATTGACCAGTCTCAAGCTAAATGCTTCTACCTATAACAGCCGCTCAAACACTGTAGGAATCGGCCAACGTCAGTGATGCAAGCGACAACCTTCAGTTCACTCTGCCGCCCCGTCGAGTGCTGAGCGCTGAGAACTGTAATTATAAGTAGCTATAGTCTAAGTGAACGCCTGTGGTGGCGCGCCATAGCTCCCGTGGGAGCTTCCAGGATCTTCTGCGAATATCTCCGAATATCTTCCGACTTTCAGCGAGAAGTACACAAGCTGAAGTGGTCAAACTAGTACTATGCTGCGTTACATAAAAGCCGTATGTATAACTGATCTGTTTCCTCCATTGTGAGAATGCAATGCGAACCACGATAGCTCTGGCAAGAGCCAATTCTTCTCCTGAAAGACAACCATAATACTCCGGATCCGTTTGCGCGTATCGGACTTCGAGCGACCCACTGAAATATTCCCGTACTTGAGTTCCTTCACGGCGTAGCTCTCCGAGAAGGATTTCTGCGCGTGCCTTGGTTGTGCCAGTGGACGCATAACCAACCATTACAGCACGGTCCGAAGCCCAGGGCCGCCTATGGAGCCCTACCGTGGGGACACACTGCATCTTACGCAGGTTATGCGACTTACAATCAGAATCGTAGCTGGCCGAAGCCCTGCCCGAAGGCGGTGCGAAGATGTTTATGACATGTGAAAGCCGATGCAAGGATATTCGCCGACGCAACGAGAACAACCCTCGCGAGGAATGATCGGTTAAATAGCAGAATGGTCGGCATTCACATATTTCAGCGTGGAACCTATGAAGGTCGGTTGAGGAAGTGAGATTGTTGACTTGCTTGCGGGACACCGTGGCAGCTTCAAACTCTGACAATGAAGGAGGCATAAGTCTTCCACCAAGCATAAGCTCTCGTGACCATACCCCACATTAACGCGGCTTCTTGGACGCACCACGGCCACCGCGCGACACAAGTGTGTTGGCCGGCAGGCTGGTGCATGGCTAAAGGCTGCAACAGCAAGCACGGTCCCGGTGTGTGGTTTCATTCTTGATCGCCGAGGACCAACCCGGACGTCACTGTAAGGGAAGGCTTCAGAGTTCCCAGCGGATGTGAAGGGTACGGGGCTCTATACCACATGCCGGTGATACAGGATATGCGTTTGCGGCTCACGTAGACGGCCTGATGCTGGTGTGAGCAATAGGACAAATGGACGTCGCGATTTCCCTAGCATCCAAGAATGTCATTCATGACGACCAGTTCTGGTACAACAATGGCCCTGAGGGTCGTACTTCGTCATTGATCTCGTAAGCGCCAGCCAAAGACAGTAGTTCTCTGGCGGCAATTCGGATGAAGAGAGCTGTGAACTGCAACGGAAGTCGAATGAGCGCGAATGGATAACAGACCAGTACATAATATGATCGCCGAGCGCACCGGGACTGCGCGCCAGTACGTATTGCTAGTGGCCGGTGAATGCCGGTAGGGAATGCAAAAGATTACTATGTAGTGTCGTGTCTCTGTCAGGGCGTAGAATCACCCAGAACGGTTCACATGTGCAGGTCAGAGGATGCGTAGCAGGATAGAATGAGGAACTGACGTTTCTTCGTCTTTGAAACAACGCGGAATCCAGACAACTCAGCAGGTCCTTTAGCATTCGGCTAGAGGATATGATATCCTTCTACTTTCTGAGCACATGGGTGAGAACTCGTATACCATCGCACCTCAGCATGCATACCGGGTGGCATTCTGAAGTTGCCGCTTCGGCCTTCTTCTTCAGGAAGCATCAGACAGGGAAATGCCCGACGGCTTTTGCCGCCACGAACGCGTTGAGAACAGGAACGCCGATCGAGCCCAAGCTGACAACCTCTGGATCTCGGTACCGAGGCAGAGTCCGATAGGCGGATGTGGGGTCGACATCTCTCTCTTTGATGTTCCTGGACGAGAACAGATATTTCTCACTCGGGTGTCGCTGCTCGTCTGTCATAATCAATGATATGTATCGGGTTTGCTCTAGAATTCTTAATATCAAATATCTTATGAATCATGGTAATTCAACTTCCCATATTATGCGAGAGTAGTCGGAAAACTCTGGTACGGTTCAAGGGCGTCATCAGCAACTTTCGTCAAATCTGGGTTGTTCCCGTTTGCCCCGACATACGCACTGATTGAGGCTATAGCCGGAGGCTACTAGCGTCGGAATCGCCCGAGCTGCTGGCGGCTTCTGATGCCAGGTCCATCACCGTAAGAACAACCCCCTGCAATCCTATCAAGACCGTTTGGTCGATAAACCTGGCACACCGCGCGAGATGGCTTGTCTCGTGTTCGGTAATAGAAACTTCGCTTAGTTCCACAGCTGGTGCTTTCAACGTTGTCCGGAATACAAGCCTGACGTTAGAAGTACAATCCGATGAATACATCCTTGGGTATCAAAGCGTGCGGCGCGAGACAATCATAGCTAGAAATTTTAGCGTCTCCGACACCTTCTGTCCTTTCCAAGTCCTGTGCCCAGGACTGAACCGGGGTCATCCCATTGTTCCCGAGCGGCGTCTTTGTCGCAGTCTGCGAACCCTGCGCATCTCGAGTATTCACCACTCGCGGCCCCAGTATAGGAGGCCGAGTGACAGCGCAGTGCGTTAGACACAGTCTTGCTTCTGATTCAGTTGTCGAAGAGCCCAGTCATCTGCGGGGTCTCGTCGATAATTAGCCTCCTTCCTCAACGTGGATAAGGGCGCAAGGTACACAGGCCCTCCAATGCTCCCCCGCGCACCATTGCCCTGCATCTCTGCATCGGACGACGCCCTCGCTCTGGGTACTGCTCTGTCGCCTTCGGTAAGAGATGGGGAAGGTGATGGTGGGGCCCATCCACGCTCTTGCTCCGAGAACGAGTACTGTCGATGGGAAGTAGGAGCATTCGTATCCCTAGGCGATGACACTTCTCCGTACACAGAAATGGCGCGCGGCGAACGAGAGGACATGTTTGGATCGGTGGCATGGGGTGAAGCGACATAAAAGGGATATGAGTAGCCACCGATCGTCGCAGGATCGGCGGATGGCTCGGCGCTAGTCGACGTTCGATATTGTGGCATGTACTGGTAATTCGGTAAAGGGTGATGAGCGGGATACGAGACATAGCCAGGAGAAGAAACATAAGGCGGCGTAGGCGGCGTGTATTTTCGGGGCTCCTCCACTGAGTGATATGGAGCTGGCGAGACTGTTGGCACGGGATAGGGTGCATACATGCGGGTTACGGTATGTCTGATATGATCTCTGCGACTTCGTGTTGCACCGGAGCTATTGCTGTTTCGGTCGGGAGAGGTAGAGAGTGCTTGCCTGAGTTTAGAGTTGGTCTTGCGCTCTCTTGCGAAGAGACCGTCGGGAACGTCGAGATTACGTAGCTGCGGGATCTCATCCACTGTCCGGAGATGTTCCAAGCTATTTTCTGTGTAATACGTGCCTGTGAGGTGGAAGATGACCCCATTAGTTTCAGTCGACAAGAAAAGACAAGGATAACACTGACTTAGGCCCAGCTTACGAGGCTTACTGCTTATAGGGTCGTTGACTGTAGCTGAGTAAGTCTGCCTTATCAGTCGGTCGCGAATAGGAGGAGCTTTCCTGGGGTACGCGTCAGTATTCAAACGGCATTTCCCCCTTAAGTGCACAAGTGCACGGACCCATCTGGAAATTTCTCGTAGTAGTAGAGTAAATCCTAAATGAAGCTGTCAGGAAAGGACTATCGGTATTGGTATGTGTGTGATGCTTGCCTCGCGGACCCGCGACTGACTCCATTTCTTCCCTTCCGTCCACCTCTCAATCCCTAGACCACTGACGTCGGTTTGCGGGTTCCTACCCTCCCAAACATACGCATCTCCTGGACGGAGAGCTTGTCGTTCCTCGTTGTCTAGGCGTCTGGTGATTAGGGGCAAGATACCGAGGTGGCAAGCGTAGAACACTTTGAGCGCATCCTGTACGTTGCGTAAACGGAAATCCCGGAGGGTGGGCTGTTGCATGATGGTATTTGTGGCAAACACCTCACACTATGTAAGGAGAACTCAGACAGTAGCGTTGCGCCGTAGTGGTTGGGATCGGAAGGCGGGTGGTGTGATTCGAGGAACGGTTTGCGCGTAACGCCAGTGGCCAGAATGTTATAGCCAAGAAGCTGGGGCTTCATTTAATTAGACTAACCGGCCAAATCGGGCTAAAGCACCGAAAAGGTGGTAACAGAGGCAATCTCGATTTATATAGCAACGCTATCAGTCTATAACCCAGAATGCTTGATCACAGACTTACATACGCTCGATTACTGACTAAAGTTGATCAGGTGCTTTCGTAATTTGCTTCCGCTACCTCTGAGCCAAGTCAACGTTCTACGCAGTGAAAGGTCCAATGACTTCGGGCGTGCACCGGCAATGTTCGAGGAAAACATCTTGCGATGAGATCTCTTCTCTGCCGTCCAGGTGGAGTACGCGACTAGATGTGAGTGAAGGACGACCGCCTGGAGCAACATGTTTCTGATTCATGGTCGGTTGAGCAGTTTCGGCTGGTCGCGCTAGCATGCTTCGGCGGAATGCGATTTTTTTCCGGAGAATATTCTGGCAGCTCGGTCCTTGCGGGCGTCGGTGCGTGCATCGTCCCTGATACCGTTCGGCATTTACATCCCATTCTGTGTGGTTACCCCAGGACATGTCATGGGAGTTCTTCTAAGATGTTGTTCAGACTTCAACCAAACTTCCACCTTGGAAAGATAACCTTCGCGGGAGACCATTGCCTGAACGAAGGGCAGGGAGTCCTATCGATGAAGAACACGGAGATCGATAGGTGTTACCCGGCATATGCCGCTCCCCCACACGCTGCACCGCGCGACCGCCCGGCGGTATTACCCAATTAAGCCGTTCGGTTCAGTATCCCCGACCTCCGGCCACATGGCCGGTGGCCTGCTATGTCACCGGAGATCCCGATAAACAGCGTTGTTCCTCGCCAGTTCCTCAATCCCGAGATTTCTAGCGAACCAGCCCAACCCTGTCTTCTTGCATGAGTCCATAAAAGAGGGCACGGGCGTCGAACGCTTCAAGGTAACGATTCTGACGATCGTCAACTCATGCAAGAGTGAGTTTGGCGTCGCCCTCAACCGGCGCCTTCGTTCCGCACGAAGTGTGCGGACCGCCTGTATCTAAGTATCAGGGCAATCGTAAGTCGTTCACAAGAAGGTTAACAGTCGCGACGGGAATGCTATTGATTTGGGCTATGTTGTGGTGCTGACACCGTGTTGCAGCGGATGCGCGATATTTCGCTTGTGTAGAGCATCCGCAATTGCTCCAACGGATTAATTCGCATGAACAGCTCCGTTACAGCTGTTGTCATTATCTGCTCCCTCGCGGACTCTCCTAAAACTGGGCTCGGAGCCTTCTTATAGGAAGGTCTGCTTGTCAATTCCACATGGACGCAAGTCGATCGCGAGGTAACGTCGCACGCACTTATGATACAACGAAGGCTGAGTGGGTTATTCAGATCCATGCTGGAGTGCCCCCGCGCGCCATATGTGATGCTTGCAATTCAGACATCTCCAGAGCAATAGTATCTTCACGTGGACCCGGCCGAGACATCCAAGGACCCTTTGTCATTATCAATACTCATATCACACTGTATGTAAGTCCCATCCCGTCTGTACCACGTCCCATAATACATGATCCAACGACGTGGTTGCTTCGATCGCTTGCCTGAGTTGATAGTTGGAGTTCGTCGACTTCTCCTCCGATCACGTTAGATCTCCAGCTGAGGGTCGGTGGAACTTGCGTGACACCGTTCTGGTGAAGTCCAGCTAGACTCTTTGGGCAGCTGTCAAACTTTGTTCCTCACGGGGTTCTCACGTTCGGAAGTAAATCTGTTTATCGAAGTCTTTCCAGCACTGCAGACCACTGTATAGGATGCCACACCTAGTAATACGGCGGCCGTGCCTGCGGAGACATCTATGCGGCACCAGTACCCTTGTACATGGGCAAAGTTTATCCATATCGGAAGCTTATAGAGGCGTCAAAAACCCGAGAGCATAAGTTCAAAGCGCATCCATGAATTGGAATGTCAGTGTCAGGAAGCCTGTGTATTCCCGGGACCCGACACTCCACATGTATTTTCTCTAGCCTCGAAAGGATAGGAAGGCACGGGACCACATTCAACTATGGCTCGAAGCATGTCAGATGTTTTGGAGCTTGTTTGCTGGACGGTAAGAAGTCTCTAGAATGAGGTTAGCGACTTTGAATCGGTCTAGTACGCTCACTTTTATTGGTCCCTGCCATACTAGGTTCTCTGTGCCCTGCACAGATCCGCGATTCCGGATTCTCCTCGTGTCTCGGGTCCTGATGATCCAAGCGCTGATTCAACTCACCCCGATTAGTATTCAAGCTGCGAGTACCTACGATTGCGTAGTGAATGCCGCTCGAAATTCAACAGCAAGCACGTCATGTCCTACTGTTTACGGCCGGACCCCACCGCTTTTGCTGAAACATTCAGCACTTCGCCGTCGACTAAGTTGACCGCGCTATCATTTCGCGAGTCCCTTGCTTTACGAAGCAGTTCTGAGTAGCTTCGGTCCCATTGGATCACCGCTATGATCCTGCATTCTGACCGTATACTTTCGTTCAGCTGGACTAAGTCCCACAAACTGTCGCAGCTTCTATAATCTGCGAGTGCAGTCTCACCAGGGTATAATCAACATTGGTGAGATGACCAGGACAGCTTAATGCCGATGGCAGCCTTACAGCTATCGGTCGGCGCGGATCTCGAAGAAGGCCACCGGTCGAAGCCTAGGTACCGGTGCATCGATGAAGCAACAACTGTTAACCCGACCCACAGCGATTGACAGTTCCGCTAGTTAAAACTAGTCGCAGTTGAGTATTATTACCTGCTTATGTGTTTCGGAATCCGGGTACTTATCCGATCCCGTCTAGAACTACGCAGTTGGTGGAGGGATCCATGGCTAGCTTAGCATCGTAGGTCCACTCGTTACCACTTCCCTTTCGTCATTTGTACGTGTCCGACAGTACTGCGTGCAAGGGGGCGTGTCCTCGAATCCACAGCTCCTCGATTCTTTATACCTTCGAAATTACGCGGAACTCTCGGTTGACTCTAATAGGTTAAATTAGCTTCTAAATCTGTGAACCTGCCTTGCGCTGCAGTCGCTTCCTGCGCCTAGATCTTCTCACCCTCAAAAGGAACCGCTATGAGAATGCCGCCTGCGCGGGTCCTGTCTGCTTGACATACTTCCACTTCTTAGCCTGAGCTATACCCTCGTAGGAAGGTCAAGCCTAGACCATTCAGGAGCATTCATGCTACGAACGAATTATTTGAGCGGTTGAATCATCATGTACGTGTTACTTGGTATGTCACTGTGGGTGTCCGTACTGCTATCTTGCTACAGAATACGTAGGAATACATTGCTATCGAGCGGAACATGCGTATACATCGTGGAATGCGCCTGGGAGTCGGAGTACGTACGTCGAGGAGAATTTGAAGCATATAGAGCAGCGTCCTGAGCGAGCAAGGATAGACTGTAATATTCCAAGACGTGCAGCGGTAATAGTAATGCTGCGCCCACTGAAGCCGCGCAGAATCTCGCTTTGAAGGGGTGTCATCTAGATCGAAATGACCGAAGGGCCTTCTCATCCATGGGATGCCGGCGAGATTGGCGAATGCTCTCTAGGTAAGATAGAGGGGCGAGGTATGTGCCAGACCTCCTTTCCGTGGGCAATGACGAATCGGTGGATTCAGAGGAGTCTCGTTCTATAGCCCGCGGCACGTCTCTCCAACTCCGACTTGGAGCCTTCTGCCGCGACTCTGATGCAGTCATGTAAGGCGATGGCGGAGAGACTTGGGAGGCGTAGGGGGAATAAGGGTAGCCGCTGCGATTGGCATAGTCCTCGATGTTGGTGGCTTGTCGATCATAGGAGTACTCTTCTCGTCCTCGTCCTTTCGCTAATCGGGCCTTTTTATACAGGCCGTCTGGTACTTCAAGGTGCGCAAGTTCCGGTATATCTTGGATCGTGCGTAGATAATCTAGAGATTCTTGAGTGAAATAGGCGACTGCAGAAGATGTATCAGCTTTGCTCTCGGCGCACACGTTGACACTCACTCATGTGCCACTTCCGACGGCCTCTAGGTGTTTCGACAAAAACAGAATACGTTTGCTTGACGAGATGGTCAGCTGGGTCTCCCCACGTCCTACCAGACGGCGATTGCGACCTAAGACTTGGCAGGGTCTCTGAGAGAGGATTGGCAACTTCTGCTCGACACGGACTTACTATCGGTCGGCTTCTGAGCACGTTTCAAGGTCATAATCGACATCCTTCTCATTGTAAAGGAGAAAATCCTACACGGAAGATAAGAATGACGCCTCGGCGACTTAGATTAGAGTACGTACATCCCGCACTCGTGATGGGCCCCATTTAATACCGTCTGTCCATCTCTCGATGCCAAGCTGGGAGATTACCATAGTCTGATTACCCAGTGGCACAAGAGGCGGTCATAATCACTTACTCCGGTGGCTTCAGTGTTTGGACTACGCTCCTCCCAGACGAAGACAGACCCCGGAACTATTGAGCGTCGCTCCTCACTGTCCAAACGTCGAAGGACCATTGGCAGAATACCCAGGTTCACAGCATGGAATATGACATGAGCATCACTAGTGGCCCTCAGGCGGATGTTTGTGCATGTCGGCCGCTGCATGGAGGATGGCGATACGGAAGCTAGAGAGGAATGCTGCGGCGTCCGGACTACGAGCTTTTTAAGACTTGAGGGCTATGATGGTGATACGCTGAAATATCTGCGTGAGATGAACATAACAAGATGATCCGAGTGGCGCGATCTCGAACAAGAACTGAATGTTAACGTAGTACCAGCTCAGGCAAAGCACACAGCAGTACACAAACTTAAGATAATGAGATCTGACCTTGTTTGACAGACCCACTGAAGCCCTAATTGAGTTCACGGCATGATAGACAGGAAAACGGGGTTGTACCGATGCAAGGTAGACGCTGACCCACAGCATCAGCTGAATGCCAGAGTCGGGTCTCTATGGGTACGGCCTTTTGTTGATTTACCTTGAGGCGCCCTGCGATACCAGTATTAGCTTCATTAAGCTCACTTCCTGGGACCATCAGCCTTGCGGGAGACGCTAGGGGACGCCGAAGCTCCGATAAATGTTGTATCTAGCTCCCTATCTGATGAAGAATGTGTGAGCTTAAGCTGTGGGAACGCCAGGTGGTACAGGCCGCGGAGAAGGGAATGGAGAGACTATTATTGGGGAACGCTATCTCCGGCCATATATTGCCGTACAAGGCCCGAGCAGCCCACATTAATATCAGCTTTCACTGACGACCCCCAGAACGCATGGCGGAGAAAAGACACAGGGGAAAGTGTACAGCGCGTGCAATGTGAGGCGCTGAAGAACTGCGAATAGTGGGGAACGCGGCCATGTTTGTCATGCTGGGCAGCCGTGTGCGAGCTGTGGCGGGAGCGGCATAGGATAAAGGCTAAGTCTATTCAACACGCTTCCTGCCAGATACGCGTTTGAATGCCATCCAGGTGATCGGGAGCGCGGCCAGACCGGGACTTGTCAGATCTTCTGACCGTGCTTATCTGGATCATTACCGCGCCTTGTTGCACCGCCGGTGGGAGTGAGGTGCAGATAGATGCTCGATGTGTTCACACGCAAACGCCACACTTCTAGGACGGCGTCGGTTCGCGGAGAACGGAGTTCAAAATAACTCTGAATGAATTTCCAGTCAGACTGTCTTGGTAAAAGCATTCGCGTCCTTGAGCCTTGAGTGGCTTGAGCAGGAGCGGAAATTATCAGAAGCCTTCTCTGCCGTTGTGTCAGACGCGAAGGCTGCGAGCGGAGAAGGTCCTCTCCCATGGCACGGCCTTCAGGATCCAGGACCCCAGCTGTCCAACATCTCCATCGCGCAGCATTTCGTGATATATCGTGACACCAGACAGCACCCAGTCAAATCAGCTGTCGCAATGATCCCAGTAAACCTACATTGGGCCTGGCGTATTCCATACGTGCACATCTTTGCAGTCTTACTTGCTAGGTCGTGCGGGCTATGTGTACGTATTTGCATCGAGCAGACATATAGCTCTAGTGATGGGAGGTAGTTTCGCCGCGGATAACCTGTCAAGCAAAATAATAACCGCTAGCACAAAATAGGAGGTGTGGTCCCACCTTTGTGAGTCCTTGCGGCGTGCTATTCTAGACTGGAGTCACCCACTCACTTTCGTAATCTCCCTTAGGCACGGGAGTAGAGATATGGCACAAAAATAATGTCCTGAAGCTTCACTGAGCTACAGGTAATGGAATGAACGTACCTGCCGTTCGCATGCTCGATATTCTCAACTTCGATCTTAGCCCTTGGGAGAAAGGCAGATCATGAAACGGGAACCCTGAGATCGGTCACTCGGAAATTCCTCAAAGAACCCGGCCAAGCAACGTTAGGGTCTGATGCGGCCACGATAATCGATTGAGGTGTCCCGACCAGGCGGTCGTGTATCGGCGTTTGGTGAATCCAGGCAATCTTTACGAGGTCGGCTTACGGATGCGAGATGGGGCAGAGCCCTTCCGCCTTCACTGGGTGCCTAGGACACCCAATGACGCCAGGAGGAAACCCTAGAAGTCGACGTTTTGCGTTGGAAATTCAACCGACGCAAAGAAAAAGTACCGACGGCTCCCCGATTTGTGAACGGCCACGACAGAGTTTTGTCAGTAGCTCATTTGGAATCTTTACCTATAGGGTCGCAATCTCAGGCACGCGCCACAGCAGAAGGTGCTTCATGTACAAAACACAGTCCATGGAGCGATCGCAGCCCGAGACCGGGCACGTTCTGCCTTATTTTTGGTGACAAACGTAAAGCCCAGAAACAGTACCAGTGGCCATAGCGAGGATCTTGAGCTCACAGGAGCACATCAGAGGAGGACGCCCCTGTTGGGTGCGAACTGGAACTCCGTGAGACCCGCCGCAAGTCGAAGCAGACAGTCCAGAGCACTTGACGAGAATTACCGCATGGACCAAGCTGCGCAAACGTTACAGACGCCCGACATGGCCCAATCATGCATACACACCGTCCGCTCTTCAGCATACGGACGAGCATAAGGAGAATACGGATTCCGAGCAAGCAGCAGATGATGAACACAAACGCAATGATGTCACGCTGTCACACTGTGTCAATAGACTGTACGCCGTTACCGAGTCAGTGGAATGATACATGCTTGCATTATTGACTCGCTCACTGGGTCACAGTCCTGCTGCTCAACGCTCACGATACTCTCTGGCCGTCTTTCGTTCACTGTCCGCTCGCATGAGTACTGCTCAGCCAACCTGGGCGCCGCCTACTCGACAGACGGAGGAGCCAGTCTTGAAGGTCTACAATTCCTTGACGCGAAGCAAGGTTAGCTCCACGCCACTCCTGGTTCTTCTCCGGATATGATATTTCTCCTTCACTTAGGTCGAATTCATTCCGCGAAGTGGACGCCATGTAAAGTGGTACAATTGCGGTCCCACTGTATACGATGCATCGCACATGGGCCATGCGAGGTGCGAGATATATCTTCGATGGATGGATCCAAGACCTTGATCACCTGTCATGCCATTAGGAATTATGTTACACAAGACATTCTCCGGCGGATAATGACTGACTACTTCGGATACGATGTCCATTTCGTGATGAATATCACTGATATTGAGGATAAGGTGAGCGGGCTGCGATGATGTCCGGGAGCAACTGACATTTGTCCAGATCATCTTGCGAGCGCGGCAAAATTATCTTTTCAATGACTACCTTTCCCGTGCAACAACCTTGTCCTCGACCTTGATCGGGGAAGTGAGAGATGCCTGGAGTGCTTACCTTCAGTCGCGAGTCAACAAAGGTCTACCGGAAGGGTTTCGCGCAGATGGCCCATCAGATCCAGCCTGGTTTGCACGAGTCCTAGAGCATGCAAAGGATAATCAATGGAGATCCGAGTGCCTGAAGCGGGATGAGAAGTTCACGATGCACTTGAACGCTGCTGTACGCCTTCCTTCCCAGCGGATATGTCTCGTCTTGAACGTCTTCTTTTAGGAACGCAGTTTCAGTGCGCTGTCAGAGGCCTCGAAACAACTCGCTGACGGCCAAACAGGACAACAATATGCCCATGCCTTAGTTCAAGCTTCTGCGGACGTTCTTGCTGAATGGCTCGACAAACAGGTGTTTTGATTGTGTCGCCATCTCCATCCTCACTCGCTCTGACGAACGCTCTCCCAGTTTAAGACCACGGTCTCGGACCACTCCATCTTTCGCGCACTGTCATCTTATTGGGAAACCCGGTTCTTCGAAGATATGGCTCGTCTCCGCGTCCGAGAGCCTGATACAGTCACGCGCGTCACGGAGTATGTACCCGAGATTGTCTCTTACGTGCAACGTATCATAGAAAATGGCTACGCATATGAAGTAGACGGGAGCGTGTATTTTGACACCAGAACATTCGACGACGCTGACGGTCACTTCTACGCCAAGCTGGAGCCCTGGAGTAAAGGCAATCAGAAGCTCATCGAGGAGGGCGAAGGTAATGTGCTACAAATATCGGCATGAGCTGAGAGTAACCCTCATAACCCCAAGGTGCATTGACAGACAGCTTGGGTCGTCGCTCTCCGTCCGATTTCGCCTTGTGGAAGGCTTCGAAACCGGGTGAGCCTGAATGGCCGTCGCCATGGGGGGCGGGACGCCCAGGCTGGCATATCGAATGCTCCGTCATGGCGACCGCTATCCTGGGCGATAACATCGATATCCACTCCGGCGGAATTGATCTCGCATTCCCGCATCATGATAACGAAATGGCGCAATCTGAGGTGGGCTATCACTGCGCTCACAATCCGTTGGCGTGCGTTGGTCATGATTTACATCCACATCTTGGCAGGCTTTCCATGATCACGGGCCCTGGGTGAATTATTTCCTACATACGGGTCATCTACATATCGAAGGCCTGAAGATGAGCAAGTCGCTGAAGAATTTCATCACTATTGACGTGAGTGTGCTCTTTGATTTAACGTACGTCCCCTGACGTCAGGGCAGGAAATCCTGCAAAAATACAGCGCAAGACAGTTGCGACTGGCTTTCCTGACACAACAGTGGAACGCGAAAATGGATTTCTCAGAGTCGCTGATGACCGGCGAAGTTAAGAATATTGAAACCGCCTTCAACGTAAGTGGATGGCAGACGCCTGTTCTTGTTAGACCCCATCGCGTGACTATGTCATTAGAATTTCTTCTCAGTCGTGAAGGCATTGATCACCGATCCCGACCGACTTAAGAACGACGGACACCATCGGTACGGCGACGCTGAACAAGAGTTAATCAAGCAGTACGTCCCCGATATGACGCTTTTATTTTACCTCACTGGCTCTGCAGTCTGCATGAGAGCCAAGCGAACTTCAGAGCAGCCCTGTGCGACTCATTCAATACGCCGGCTGCCATGGACATGCTTCGTAGCCTGGTTTCCCGGACCAATGTCTACATTAATTCTCGAGGTTCGGAGATGAATGTAAAGGTCATCGAGTACGTCGCCAAGTGGGTCGGCAAAATGCTACGGATTTTTGGCCTCGGTGAAGGCGAATCATCGGAAATTGGATGGGGGCAGGACCTCGGCAAAGGAGCCGCCGCCGTTAACGTGGGTACTGATCAGCTGGAGAATGCCCGCTCGCAAGGCGGCTGTATAATGCTCTGGCCACTCATTCGATTTCTTTCTTGTAGCGAGAAGAGATCCTTATGCCTTATTTACGGACGCTGTCCTCCTTCCGAGACGGAGTGCGAAAATTGGCGATCGCGAAGGGGGACAATGCCCTCAAAGACATCCTCGCACTGTGCGACAAGCTCCGGGACATCGATTTGGTGCCGCTGGGCGTCGCTTTAGACGATCAAGATGGTACGTCAGAAAATCGTATAACTTGATGAGGGCGGTGTTTGATTCCGGTATCATGTGCTATTAACAGACGGGAAAGCGCTTGTGAAGATCGTTCCGCCGGAGGAGTTGGTCCAAGCCCGGGAAGAGAAGCGCAAACAAGCAGAAGCAAAAGCGGCCAAAAAGGCCGCTCAGGTTGAGGCTGAGAGGCAGAAACGTTTACAGAAGTTGGAGAAGGGGAGAGTGCCGCCTCAGGAAATGTTTAAGCCTCCCAATGTGAAAGAGGGGGAATATGGGAGCTGGGACGAACAAGGATTACCGCTAACGGACGGGCAAGGTAAAGAGTTAAGCAAGAATAAGGCGAAGAAGAATTTGCAGTTGTGGGAGCAGCAGAAAGACTTGCACGAGAAATATCTAGCATGGAAAAGGGAGCGATCTGGATAATCTAATTCCCTTTGCGATTGTATCTTGCATCTGGCAGCGGCGGATATTACGATATGTTGCTGTCTGCGCGAAGGCGATAAGCTGATGACAGACTGAATGCAAGCTCGAAGGGGCAGGACCCTGTTCGCCGCGAGGTGGGGGTACATACCTTGATCTGTATTTAGCAGGGCTACCAATCGGATGCTTTGACCACCAGGTCCGCTAACCTCACTAGGCCCGCCTTGTCTTCCTCATCAAAACCCTCGAGCGCCAGACAATCCAGGTCGAAGACTCCTACGGCGATCTGCTTGTCACCTTGCTCGAGAAGTAATGGGCATACGATCTCGCTTTTGGTCTCCCCGTCACATGCTATATGACCAGGATACCGCTCTACGTCGGGTACGAGTATAGTCTCCCGGCGAAGATAAGCATCGGCGCATACCCCCCGAGCCTTCCCTGGCGTAATGTTGATGAATTGGCAAGCGGGCTTGCCGCAGAATGGCCCAAGCAATAACTTTCCGGACTGATCGAGATCGTCTGCTTGAGCTTGCTTTGACAGACGCGCAGCAGGAAAAAAGGCAGAATCGATGTAGAATCCTATTCAACGACGTGAGTATAACCCACGACTCTTGCGATACATTAGAGCATGGGTATGGTCAATATAAATCGGGCGGGAGTGTCGAAAGTGGACTGCACCCGATCGCGATGCAAGTGAGGAGGACGTACCGCACCAGTTGACGGCTCTATTCCCGGGACCAAAATGTGCGGGGAAGGCGAGCAGCGCATTGTATATTAGAGCGGAGGCATTAGCAAGATTCGAAATCTGACACGCGGCGGTGTATGTTCGTCAAACCCTGAACCTAAGACAAAGACAGAGGGGAATTCTTACCCAATTCCGCTGTCCTTCAAGTAAACCCTGCAACTGATCATGGACATGGTTCCAAAATTCACACTTTGTCTGAATATCTGAGGGTACGAAAGCGGAATCTGCGTGTGGCATGGCTTTCGATTTTCCAGCCCGGAAGGACGACTCTACTTGCTTTTAGCCACACTGGTAGATAAAGGTGCCGAGAAGTCCGCCACATTCAACATGGTGACATCCCGTCATCTGGACAGTTTATAATTAGTGTCGAGTAATTGCCCCCTAACGTATTCGAGTATCTGTTACGATCAGTCCTCCACTATCCTACGGACGAGGCACCATGGCACCATTTCTTGAGTCCGTCAAGGTGTGTCTGGACAAGCAGCAGGTGCCTACGATGGTCTGACTGTCCTCAGTCATTCGCAGACGTTCCTATCACCGACGCTGGCGTCGACACACTCGCTTTCTTGGAGGCGGCAGAGGGTTTGGTCCGCATATTTGGTACGAATATCATATCGTTGAGATCGGCCACGAGTATATGAACGCTATACCTCAGATCTTCTTGGATCTACCGCGTTCGCTGTCGTGCAATCCGACCTGAGAGGGAACATTGAGGTAGGGCGGACTGACCTTCGGTCTATGACCATTGTAACATGCTTTGCAGAAAGTCCGTGCTAGGTACAACGCGGCACCAACTCAATCCGCAACACTCGAGCAGCTAGTCGAGAATGAGAAAGGCGAGAAGAAACGCACAGCGACGGAGGGCCTCATGTGGCTTCTTCGGGGCCTCTCGTTCACGTGCAAAGGGCTTCAAAACGCACAGAACAACCGAACCGAAGAGCTCTCGACCGCCTTCACTAAATCCTATGAAGTGACATTGAAGAAGTTCCACAATTTTGTGGTCAAGGGCGTATTCTCGGTATGTCCCGCTAAGCGCTCAGCAGCGTTGTCCCGAGTTTCCTGACATGTTCTACGTTCGTTCAGGTCGCAATGAAGGCATGTCCGTACCGCGCTGACTTCTACAAGAAATTGGCGGCAGATCCCGCTGGCGGACCGCCGGTGCCAGATGACAAGCTTAACGACGAGCTAAACAAATGGCTCGCAGGCCTTGAGAATATCCTTACGAGAGTCGAGGCCTTCTACGAGAAAGGTGGCTATGGCAAGGGTTTGTGACCTACCAATGCTCGGTACATGCTGTACATGTACACGGAACATACGCATGCACTAATTATACTCTTTCCCGACCGCCTACAAATTTGCTTTCATTCAGTGCATGGCGAGTAATTTGTCGGCGGTCTCCCTTCTCTCGGTCGACTTCCTTCTAGCATCTCTGGGATTTCTGAAGATATCCGCCGCCTGACTCCGCATCTCCGCTCCAAATAAACGGTGAGCCAACGATGTCCGCGCTCTAATGCGGTTCGCGATGTTACCCAAGGGTGGGGAGTTTACCCTAATATGCTTGTCTTCCTGTTCGCCGTCTTTCGCATTATGTTGAAACCGTGGAAAGCTTGGGAGATTTATAGGGATGATACTCGTCGAAGAAATCCAAAACATCTATGCGTTTCAGCACCTTCAAGGCGCAGTTTCATGGCAGTCGCTCTCGAGAGAATAGCACCCAGTATTAGTGCCAATGCCTCGCTGGTCTGAGAGTCCTGGGACCGCTCAGCAGTGTTGCAACATGCGTAGATATAAGAGTGCGAAGTCAGCGAGTCTCTATAGACGGAGTAATTATGGACGTATCACGCGCGATGACCGACGGCATCACCCTGTTCGTTAAGTCCCCGCGTACTCCTCCAGAGGAAGTCATGGAACGCTCCAGCTGGAGCAGCACACGTACCGAAGTCCTGACCATCGATATCATGGGGGGAGCAAGGACGTAACGTTACGTTGCAGACGTGAGACGACTCATGAGACAACAGTGTATGGGAATGTCTAGACAATTTGCTAGACTTGCGCGTGGTATAACGTTACTAGTAGGTGCTCCGATCTGGGACGGGCGGGCGTGCACTGGCAGATACGAGTTGCAGTCGAGCATGGGGGAGGAATTGAATAAACGCCGAGGATGTGCCGGACTTCCAAGGAAGAAAAAGTCATCGTTCGAATTAAGAGGAAATAGCCTGCAGACAACTTTATGCCAGTGGAGGTCGGTGTAATAGAGCAAGAGAGAGGTGATGGCCTCCCCCTCACATCGTAAGGTCCCCGATATCTCATTGTAGTTGGATCCTCGAGTGACGCGTGCACGGCGGGTGCTACTCGTAGATGCCGGCGGTCCGAAAGAGGGCAAGGGAATTTTGTTGGGAAAATGGAGAGCAGCTAGTATGCCACCTGCTACGTTGATAGACTCGTCTGTACACCCTGCGGTCCAGGATGCTGTAATGATCATACCCCTATCAGTCAGGCTTAAATGTCGCATTTCACTGGCATCCGCCTGATGCTCAAGCATAAGCCCTTCGCTTGCTTTCTCGGGGCCTGAGCCTCGGGCGGGAAGTAGCAAGAAGAGCATTGTCACATACGCCTCTGGATATCTAGACTCCAGGTTTCCAGATCGGATGCCAACTAGTAGAATTATGTCCAGCTCGAATAAGTCGGGTGTGGATCTAAAAGGCTCGTGAGAACAAATGGGACCAGTACAACAGGCGTTTCACAGAATCATAAGGTGAATGAACGCTATTATCCGCCTATGCTTGTATGGGAATGAAAGGATCCATTCCATGCACAGGCACCCTAGCGCTCAGGCGTCGCAAGACTGATGGTCGTCTAGTAACTGTAGATGGACAGAGGCGCCGTGGGAAGTCCCTCAGAAAACACCTGGGATATCATTTAGCGTTCTCACATAATGGAAGACTGCAAGGGGGAGAAATCTCAGGCCCTCTCTCCCGACGGGCCCCCGAGTCCGTAATAGACTTCCCCTAATTAAAGGTAGGGCTATACGCCGTCCAAGCGTGCCCAGTTAATTGCGTTAGTCACCGAGTCGTTAAATGAACAGAAAGGGACCCACGAAGGATGTGGAAAGAATCCCGAAACGAAGATAGGATTTTGGCTTATCTCAGCTTCTGCTCCCCGAGTTCGAGAAGAGGTCTTAACATGCCTCCTCTTGTCCAAGTATTGCCGTGCTAGGCGTCCGTGCTTTCACCTGCTCGCTGGATTGCGAGTTGGTTGTTGGTTGTACTGAATTGATAGGCGCGGGCTAGCCCTGTTATAGATGGGTGGGACGGTTGTACCAATGGTATTTCCTTACTGGTGTGTAACTGCTGACAATCAGAAGACGCCGAATATCAGGAGTAAGGAATATTTCAAAGTAGAAGACGTCACTTGAGGGGTACAAGATGGTCTGTGGGAGATCCAATACGGCATATTTCTGCACCCGGACCTGTGGATGGCAATGAATCACGACCTGCTTATTCAAACGCATGAAAGCTTATGTACACGGCGTGTCAGTTCGTGGTGATTTCCAGATGCAGCAATTCCATCGACTGCCTACCTGTGTTATGAATGCATGGGAAGATAAGCTTCAACGATCCATCGCTTTTTAAAGAACAAACTCGCCTCCTCAAGAGCGCGGAGTTACCGGCCAGCGGGTGCATGTGCACATTAGTAAATTCCGGATTAGGAAGTTCATCATCGCTCTCACTCCTTTGCCAAACCGGCAACTGTGGCGCTCTTCAAGAAGTACATGAACTGCGTGCTCCGAGATGCCATTTCTTCAGCGATATATAAAGACACTTGACATGAGATGCAGCATCGTATACTAACCTGCTGCCATGCAGACCCCTACTTGCACGGGAGTGCGCATCAGGTCCACCCGAGATGCCAACGTCTTATTCCACGCTGTGGCTCTGAACATCCTGCCCATGGTTGTTCGCCGCCTAGATAGCGATGCTCGCATGGCGCTCTGCTCTGGGTGTGTATACGTATGGGAAGAACGGTGCCATGGGCTACCCGAGGGATCTGAACCAGGCATTGAAAGATTTACGGACGGAAGGAGTTGGGGGCCTTCCCGAGCTCGTGATGTGAGTCGAGTCTCCTGGGCGTCTGGTCAAAAGTCATTCAACTGTCTGCAGGACTTTCTGTTTTACTACGAAAAATGTCCCTCAAAAACATTAACCGCTGGGAGCAGTAAGGCAGCGAAGTCCGTCTTTCATGTTTCGTTTCTTATGTTCGTAACCTGACAGCATTACTATCTCTCTTAGGCGACAGACCATGATCAAACAGACTTACTCTGTCTATGTGAACACCCCCGCTGGACTAAGGAAATGGCACCTTAGTAAGCCATAGGCTCTGTCAGTGCCGGCCGTTCTGATGCGACATGTATTGTTAGATGCATACTATACACAGGAAACAGTAGACCAGTTGATAACTGTCGACGACATTCCATCGCTCAGGAACCTCGTAGTGCCCGACTCGTACTACATCTGTGCCCGAGCAAGCCGGTCTCGCGAGGTGGCCACCAAGACAAATCAATACCTCTCCGTAGGGTATGACACGCCCTCGCAGTCAGCACGGGGACGCTTCTTCGCATTTTCCGCATCCCCCTCTCCCCGCCCTTCGGAGTCAGATACCGATACCACCCGGGTGGACTCTCCGATAATACCAGTGGCGGGTTCAAAAGATTCAGGTGGCTTGAGGCGTAGCCTTTCTCGGGAGCCATCTCGCATTCAATTGGTTCCGCTGGAGTATTTACAGAGCATATCTCGGCACCGCGACCCAATAGACGACGAGGCTCTCAGAATCTTGTCTGGAAGGTCCAGCGCGCACTGATCGTTCCGGAGCATTCGGGGTTCCATTTTCCTCCTTGAAGTCGATGGCTAGGAACTCTGTAAGCCTGATTGATGCTTGTCCGGTGAAGTTTTTCTCATGCCCATCTAAGTGGCCTGCTCGCGGTCTCATTCATCTCCACTCAATCTTACGCTGCACCACTGGTATCATACACGTACATACACGCAGCTTGGACTTCATAGACATCAATTCCACGGACACTGTCGTGTATTTTACATGTAACATTCATTGTGGCTCGAGCCCCACTTTCGCCTTGTTTATCGCAGATATTCTGGGTATTCACAGGGTAACTGTGCCCCGGGAACATCAATCGAAGACGGTAGTATTACAGACTTCAAAGGTGACTGCAGTCGACGGATGCTCTAGAACCAATTTGCCGCGACAGGACATGCTATTAACGGGCACACAAGAAGTCGAACCTTTCTCATTTTCTACGGGCGATGTAAGCCCCCAATCATTGCAGGAATGGTCTGTTCTCGAACTCCAAATGTAAGGCATGTGAGGGTTACATACAGCATCCTAAGCCGCATCAGGTGCAATTAATAGCTCTCATTAGTGACCTTCAAAGGACGACGCCGGACATGTCGCACGGTTCTCCCGAGGAGCCTGAGAGATAGACAGCAATAAGACTTCTCGCCCTAATGACGGTGATCTCGACGGAGAGACACCGTCAGATTCTTCCCGCGAAGCAGCAGATACGAAATGGCTCCGTAAGCTTCCGCATTCTATCTCCCGGAACTTCTGTATGACGTTAGTGCTCAGGGTTCGATGCTAGGAGGACTCATCTACGCCCTAGGGAGGATCGATGAGACCAACTCACGCTGGAAAGATCAAATTGGGCAATGAAGAAGGTGAGAGTGTGCATTCAACGCGCATATCACAAGATGATATCGCTCGGGGGAGGAGAGAAGACCAACAGAGCCCGGATGTATCGAACGCGTCCGGCTGTGCTCGTCAAAGAATGCTATACCGACATCCCACAGACACTGTGCGCAGTTTACAGCCTGTTTCCTAAGGGTCTGAGGCCCTGTCTGAGGCCCTGTCGACACGAATGGCAAGCCAGCCAAATAAGTAGCAACCCCGACATTAAACCATGCATTGACTTCACACTTGATGCCCGACTCCAAAATGGTACCTTCAGAGCAGTTCTAAGGAAAAAGGTCATTGGCTACGAAACCCCGGACCGGTGTAAGGTCACTTATATTAGGAGATTAGTTTATCGGCCAGGATTCGCATTCCTTGAAGGAAGCTAACCTGACATCGTCGCAGATCTTTTGCGGAAGACCACTTCCACAAATCTCCATCCCCTCATAGGCTAATCAACACGAGCGAAGATGCTGAGTGGCGGCGAATTGCCAAAAAAGCTTGGAGTAGTAGTGAAATAAGGTGCAGGTCGCTGAGCGCACCGCCGAGGCTGCGACAGGAAGGGTCAATGTCCTCGGACATGCTGAAAGCATCTACGACACCGTCGAGCCGCCTCCCCCGACTTCCGGCGAACGTGTTGCGCATCATCGAATGATGTATTATCAAGGACGGCTATATCGTGGGGTGCATGTCAAAGCTGAGAGGTAATAGGGATGTCAGTACATCCAGGGAGGCAGAATGGGGCCATACGTACAATGATTTGCAAGAACTGCACTCTCAATACCAGCCATGACCGAGGAAGGGGCCGAGTCATCACCGAGGCTTGGAAGAAGAGTGCTAGCAAAAATAGAATGAAGACTGCCAGCGATACGAGCGGCTAGCAGCTTACATCCTTCACGCAGCATTCAGTTCGCGGTACTGAACTGAACACCAGAGGTATGGATGCTGTGCAGCCCGCCTGGAACGCGCCGGCAAAATATGCGGCCCAGCGTGTGACTGGTCGGAGTGTGGTATATGGGAATGGCGCAGCGCTGTTGACGATAAGCACTGATGCTATAATAGCGACAATATAGTGCCCTGAGCGCAAGGCAATCCTCTTACCACCCCGGCGACAGCGAAGGGCCCCTTTTCCATGGGAATAGACACGACCGGCCAAAGGATGGCAAAGAGACAACGGGTAAGAGCGCGCTGCATACCCAGAATGGATGCGGTTGTGTCCGTTGACGTTCGAAACTATACGTATCGCTCTTAACTCCGCTTTCCTGGGACAGGCTCTAGGCTAGCTGATGAAATATGGGAATTGCCGCGGCGCTTCTGGTGTGGAATTGGGAGCTGCATTGCAGGCGAAGGTTCCATTTGCGCGGTACGTATGGGAAATGCGGTACGCTCTGCGCTGAGCTCAACCTCGGTGTCAACAGTAGACCCGTACATGGCCAGATGTTCTGGACTCCGGAACGACTTGCTGTCCGAAGACCTCAAGGCGAGCGTCTCTGCTGACCGGTATCCTCGAGTTGAGCAGGAGCTTATCTCCTGGTTAGATCCGTTCAAGAGGTCCAGTTCATGCCCCTGCTCATGTTCATCGCCCGCTCCACTACTCTTGTCCAGCGAAGACCGGCTGGATTCCATGGACACCCTGGTAATTCGGTCGAGAGGGGCCCGGGTAGCGGTGAATAGCGAGGATAGCCCATGGGATGGTAACCTGGCCATCTGATGCTCTGAGGATAGCGAAGAACCGCTGGACACTGGCGATCCATGAATCTTAGTCCGCCTAGGGATAGCAACAGCGTTGAATTTTGTATTGTTCGGAGGCGAAGTCAGTCGAGAGTCTCCGTCTGAGGGAGAAGCTTGTCGAGGAAGCGCATCCCTAGGATTGAAAAACGACAATTCGGACTCGGGCAGCTCCCGCAGGTTCAGAGAGGACAGTTCTTGGGTGGTTATACGAAGAGGAGGACTACCACCCGCTTCTGAACGGCTGTCTTTGTCAGTGGCAGTGTCCAAGGGGATGTATAGTTGCCGTCGAAGATGTATCGAGTCCGAAGCCCACATGTGGTTTACTCTGCGTAATGCCGCCATGGATACGCCGTACTTGAGGGCCACGCCCGCTAGCGTATCTGCGGATTTCACCTGGAAGGCATTGTGGTAAAGATATCACCAAACGAGCAAAAGACCACAGAGCGCATTTTCATACCTCATGGATTACTACTCTTTTCTTCTTTGACGGTGAGTCCTCCTCGGTGTAGATAGTTGCATGCGAATCGGAGTCTTTGCTTGTTTGATCTTCAGACTCCTTGGGCTCAAAATCGCTCAGCATACGCGCCAGCTGAGGTCGTGTCGCGCTGTCCCTATTTGGAGCAGAAACAGTAGGAGTTTGCAAAGGATGGTCATATCCTACATGACCATCCGTTGTATGCGCTCGAGTGTGTACATAGCCTTCTTGCTGGGGCTCCCGGGCGAGGGACGAGCTTTCTGACAAACGGCGGGTTAGTCGCGGGGAAAGCCTAATCGTTGCGTCCTCAACGAGTTCGGAAGTCTCCTCCAGCCACGGGTCTTCGCTCATTGCAGCAGCATCATATGGGACATTCAGCATGATAATAAAACAAGAAAAGACGGTGTAGTGGATGGGCCGTCATGCCATGTATGCAGTGGCTCCCGTTCCATATTCAGGGCGCGGTCGCCCTTCGAGACGCCGTGCGAATTCCTACTGTCTGTGGGAAATTCATTGTCGGGATACTTCGGGCCGAGGACCTCTTATGCACGAATAAGGAATATTTTGTTTCTGTTCAGTTTTCGCTCAGAGAAGAGAATACCAGACGTGTCACATTACGCACATAGGGAATCACGAAGATACTGTGTGCCATGACGGTACAAACATATTGCGGAGACATCGGGACGATCGCTGATACAAGGAGTGGCGTACAAATAATACAGCGTGCGCGGCATAATACCTACATAGCCTCCGAAGTAATAGCAGAAGACGTCCCTATATTCAAAAAGGGCGAGAAGACGAAATGAAAGAAATAAAGATTGCCCCAAGCGCGGTGACCATTCATTAAATATCCTCTTCAAAGTCAATTCAAGGACTAGCGTCCTCTCCCTCCTCCCTCGTTCTCTTCGACCCCGCGGAAACGACCGGGCTCGATGAAGCCTTCTGCTTCTGTTGCGCGCCCGTCACGCCGACGACCAAGCCCTTTAGCCAGCCGTTCTCTCGCCTCAACCCCTCACACTCTCGTTCAAGTTCCGTGACACGGACCTCCAACTCTTTTGCCTTCCTCTCCAACGCTTGCTCCCTTTCCTTCTTCTTCAGGCGGAACCGCGCGGACGCGGCAGTATTCCGTCGCCGCTTATCCTCAGCAGCAGTCAGCGGAGTGCTTGTATCTGGGAGGGGCGATTCGGCAGTTTCGGAAGTGATGGTGGTGGTGGAAATCTTCCGGGTACGAGCACGTTTGGTTGCTGGCTCGGCGACAGGCAGCTGAGATTGCGTAGTCTGCGTGGCTGGCGGAGACACGGATGGTGATGCGAGGAAGGGCTGGGCGGGGAAAGGAGCAGCTGACTGGCCGTACAAGGTCAGTAGCTGAGCGAGTGAGGGTACTCCAGTAGCGGTCGCGCCCGTCGGCGGAGGCGGAACGCCCAAGCCGGTCAGACCAAAACCCGCCAGGATTTGGGCAACGTCGAGGCTACTAGGAGCCTGAGGCGCGCTTCCATGGATGGTCGCAGGTGCGGCGCTGTTTGGCGACACAGTCCGGCCATTTTTCTCGTCCACGCTCGTGTCTCCCTCCTCCTCCTCGTACTTATCGGAGTCATCCCCACCGTATTTCGTGCCCTCTGCTCCCCCCTTACTGTTTTTCGGGACTATGGGTTCGTCGGATTGGAAGGATAAGTCCGTCCAAAGATCAAGCTGCGCATTGAAATCTGCGAAAGGGGGCAACTGCGCCAACAAATCGGCGTCAGATACGTAGGGATTGGACGGAGGCTCGGGCTGGACGATGTTGAGGCCCTGCAGGTTTGATGGCGCCATTGTGGTAGTAGCAGACACAGCGCCGTGACGCCGACTTAGCACAAGACTGGCGGAAAATTATGACAGAGTCGCAATCGTCAGTCGGTGGTGCAGAGGAGAATTGCAAAGGGGCACGGATTTTAGATAGCGCCATCCGTCGCACGTTGCCTCTGCCTGACTAATCTTATCGACTCCCGCCGCCCTAGGCCGGCTCGGTCGGACGGTTTCGCCGTCGGCTTGCAAATTGAGACGCCACAGGTGGCGTTTAGCCCCAAACGGGCAACACGCCCTCGGGCAATAATGGCTTACAAAGTCATAAACTGTAGCGGGTAAGCAGCGGGAGGGGCGGGGCAGCATTTTCATATCTAGCCTGAAGAGATGTGATCTGGACAGATGCCTATAGGGCCACGCTGCTGGCAAGTCACACTGGCGTAGATCAACGCCTATCTTCTGGGAAAGCTCATGAAGGTTCCACTGGTAGCTTAACTGTAAGACATTAAGACTCTTCTACGCAAAAGCGAGGAGTGTCCGGGCAGTCTCAAATGCCTCGACTCGGTTATCGGACCGTTGGCCAAACGTAGAATTGTTCGGTCGATAGCAAGATTAGCGTGGGTGAGCACGTTCTTTTCACAACGGAACAGCGACATTCCAAGCTGTAGATATTCATGGCACCTACATTGAGGACGCGTCATCGCATGACGGGATCTTCCGCCGCGAGAGAAGGGACACTTCGCCTGTTCCTGCCCATGATGCATCCCGACCGCTCGGTAAGACTTCAATGGTAATGCACCTAGCATATTCCTGCAGCACACGTCCCTACTCGCCGATCATTGGGAATTCACCCACACGTTCAGTGTTGAGCATAAAAGAGAAGGGGTGATACCAGATTAGCGGCTTCAATGAGTGAGAGGAGTTCAACGCTGCAACTATACCAAAATCCAGGGACCTCCAGCGGCGACTAGGAACACAGGGGTGCCGGCAGCACCAGACCCAACCTAATGCATAAGATCATACAATCACCGACGGGCCCCCGCGCGTGACAATGCAGTAGAAGTGGCCCATGGGCATGGTCAAACCGCTACGTGAGGGAGTAATATCACAATCAGAGTTGAAGAGGAAACATGGTATCAACGAAGGTGAACTCACGTATGAAGAGAAGGAATTGCATTCGGCGCTTGGATCATCTGTGATATAGCTTAGTGCTACAAGTTCGAGCCAGACTGCTGGCTGTAACGGCCTTCCGTGGGGTTGACTAAGGCATGGATAGGTTCCGCAGAACCGCAAAACCGCGGGCAGAAACATACTGAGTGTCCTGGTCAGATTGTACGACGAGCAGACCGGATGGGTCCGCCCTAAATCTCCCGGGCCAACTTGCACAAGCTCACCGCAAGAGTTGTCATCACAGGCTTCCGCCTCTCGAGAGATCAAACATCTTAGTCGCCGTGTCTCACCAATGGAGTAAGACGCCCCGGTACCATGGAAGATATTCACGGCGTGAAGACGAGTGTTAGGCTAGTTAGAGGGGTTACCGCTATGACGGCTCGATCGAACAGAAGTTTAGACTACCAGGCGTGGATTGTGAGGATATTGACGACGAACCAAATGCTGTGCCCGACGGCTATCGGTACTCGTATCCGAGCCGTAGAGTTATAGCTACGGTAGCAGAGTCCAGCATTAGATGATTGTCCGACGTAAACCCGTGTGGTTAATTCTGGTGAAATCCGCTGTGGCAAAAGTTATTCGAATCGGAGCAACCAGTACCCTTGGATTTATGGGAGTCCATTGGCCAAAGACAGACAACTTCCAAGAAACAGAAGCTAACTATAATTGAAGCAGGATTCACCAAGAGAGCAAGGGTCTGAGCTCCAGCCTCCAGCATTCAAGCTTGTGAGAGTCCACTATGAATTCAACCAACGTACAGTATTGTCGCTCCCTTGAATCAACTTTGAAAGTCGAGGTGTGTGTGAAGACCGAGGAAACCTATGCTTACCCGATTTGCCATTGACACACCTGCTGACTAAGGCCTGTTCCAAGAGCCGTCAGCGGTACCGGTGTTGGAACTCCATAGCCTTGCCTTGGCCTCCTACTCCTCTATCACGTACACTTTCAATGGCGTCCTCGTCGACAGACTTCAAAGTGCCTTTCATTAAGAAGGGGAAGTCGCGGCCAGCTACAGCCAGGAAACGGTCGGCGTCTCCGCCCGCGTCAGTGCTTACCATCTCAGGTCCTTCGTCATCGCTAGAAAAATCCTCGGTCGTCCTGCCTTCTCGTAAATCTGGGGCCAGTCTGCTTAGCGCTGGCACCAAACGGACAGTCTCGCAGAGGAACGACGACGACGCAGGAGGCGAGAGAGAGAAAGACGGTCCGGACGTGAAGTGGACCGCTGCTGGTTCTCATGTGAACGCTGCTTTGGATATTCTCGCGGGAGATGAGGCTGAGGAGCTGCTCGCGAAACGGAGGAAGCAAGAAAAGCGCGAAAGAGGCGATGAAGACGACGACGTGCCGGATGACGGCCTGTATCGAGGTCAGAAGGCTTATAAGCAGCACCTGAAGAAAAGTCAAGATGTTCCGAAAGCTATGAGAGTCGGACCCCAACGGAATACGAGCAGTACAATCAGGACTGTGACCATAACTGATTATCAGCCCGATGTCTGCAAGGACTACAAAGGTACGTCTCATACGTTAGTTTAATATTTCCTCGATTGACTAAACTAATCAACACTGATTTCAGAGACGGGTTACTGCGGGTTCGGCGACACTTGCAAGTTCTTGCATGACCGGGGAACGTGTACGTTACTTTGTCATTCTCATTTTTGACTCTTGGCCCGGACTCATACGTCAACTTCCGCACGCAGACCTCGCTGGATGGCAACTCGACAAGCTCGCCGAGAACCCAAGAAAACAAGTCGAGGATGTCTCCGACGACTCCGACTCGGACGAAGACATACCCTTCGCCTGTCTGATCTGTCGCAAACACTATACAGACCCTGTTGTCACACGCTGCGGTCACTACTTCTGTTCTGCGTGTGCCATAAAACGCTATGCCAAGACACCGAAGTGTGCCGCCTGCGCCTCGCCGACGGCAGGTATATTCAATAGGGCGGACAAGGTGATAGACAAACTCAGGAAAAAGGAAGAAGCGCAGAAACAAGAAGACGCGGAGGACCCCAGCAACGAAACATCAGTGGCTATCGAGGGGCTTGGAAATGATAGTGGCGGCGATAATGACGATACCGAGGATGATGACGATGAGTGATCCCAATTCATGCTATAATTCACGTATGCTTGCTGTGTAATATTAGGCCTACATGCTTCTGCACGGCTACGTGCATATCTGAGTGGCAGGTACGACTTGGCAATGTGGTTCGGCCCTTGGATATCATCGTTCTGATCTGCGACCTGTCCCGCTGTCGACGGCCGCCGGTGTATGTCCATGCTACTATTGTGCCCCTCGTCGAAAAGTCTGCGGCTACTGGAGAGCTGCATAAGTGGAGTTTGCCAAGTAAACTATACCTGATTGGCGACATGTCACAGCGCGCTGCGACGTACACAACTATATATATCGCGGCTGTCTGATGCCCCACCGCCGGAGACGAAAAGGCCTGCTCTTGGACAGATGGCATCGTGATCAAATAATTGGCTAGGAAGAAGAAGCTTCTGGAGTATCAGGACGGAGTCCTCTGGCCGTCGTTTTGAGGACAAGACGTTCCCTGTTTCCTGTGATCTTCGCGGACCCGTTTGCTCACGTCGTCTTGTCGGGACTAATTCCCCCGACTTAACATGGTAACTGCGATATTCTCGCATCGGGGAGAAGAAGTCACGTCCCTTGGCCTTGTTGGAACTCTTTTTGCCATGTGCAGGTATACCTCCGGCTTCTTCCCGAAGTGGCTCAGATGACTCTCGCCTAGTCACCCTTCCAGACTGCAAGTCGCCGAGTTAGTGTCTGGTGCGTTGTGCATCATACGTTCGGCGGCGACGTTATTGTATCCGGTCCAAGGGGCCTCCAATGGATACAGCCTCGATGACTGTGATCCAGGTCGAGTGTGTTCAGTTCTACTCTGCGCCAGAACAAATATCACCAGAGTATCCATGGTACGCTTTAATCGGCGACGTAACAAGGGATCGCGATGGACTCGGCATTCACACCAATACAGAAGGGGTCTGGCAGGGAAGGGCCTTCAGGGTCAATCGCAGGTAGCCAATCTGCACCAATGGAGCTCGCTGATTTCTCCTGACCTAGGGCGATCCCTCTGTCGAGGAACCAGACAGTCCTTCTCGGAATGCGTCACAGTCATTTGATAGGCCTAGGGCCTATCTGCGCTGCCCAGGATGACGGCGATATCCCGTCGGACTCCCCTCTTATGGCATTCTGATACATCCCAGGCGACTGCGGAGACTTGAGACGGCGTGTGTACTATGCCGCAACCTCATTCGGAAAGCAAGCTCGCTGGCCGCACTCATATCTCCGGGCGACCTTCTGCGGATCCCTCCTGCCACAGTTTAGGATGTGTATCCCTCATGTGGTACCCACTTGACTCCCGCGACCGATTCACGATCCCTGTTGTCTCGATGGATTGAGCTTGTTATCCTGCGCGGGGAAATGTAAGGTCCTTCGTATGCCTCACGAGAGCCCCCGTAGCGCCCTCCTACACCCTCGCGGTGTTACGGGCCCTCCACATTCGACAACCGAGGCGCTTTTCCGTAGGTTTCCACGTTTGAAATCCCACCATCGGGGATTGAAGAAGCGGTACTCCAACTGCGATTCCAGGATCTTCTAATGAAATCTACGATTCGCCGAAAGATCAGGCTGATATTGGTAGCAGTCTCGAGGTGATCCGCACACTGCAAGTTCCGCGCGTCAGAGCACTCCCTAACGACCTTACAAAGAACAATTTAGTGGGCATGGAGGGCGTCTGACCCCATGGTCACCGCTCAGGATCGGTACTCTACAGAAGAATGTGATGGATATCAGGGGAAGAGAGATTGTTTCGCGAGGCCCCTGATATTAGGACAAGAATTTGCACACCGAGTGCGGTAGGATTACATCAATCGCCAAGACTAGGCCTACGGTACAACAAGTGAGTTTAGAAAATATACGGAGAGCGCGAGAGTAGTACAATTATCTGGACAACCAAGTATTCGCAGAATGTTATACAGCGAACGTGTAAAGTACAAATCTACTAGTATTTCGAGAGGCCATGCCATCGGTATAGGAATTGTGCAGCTCTTCTACGGGGGTGATGGTCCGCGGCATCCGGAGTCACGATGGCGTTTCAAGGCATCGGACCTGCTGAAGGGTCTGGTACAGTCAGGACACCTATGTCTCTGACTGTCCGGACGATGATGTGTTTGAATGTGCCTTGTTCTGTCGTGGGCTCGCGAAAAGGTTGTGTCGCATTGTCCGCACTGCCACCGTTGCACAGGGGTCGCCGTAGAGGCACCGGCGGGGTGCTCTGGTATCTGGATGGTCGTGAGGGACTGGGATCGAGCATGTCGTGAACCGGCGGGCAAAAAGGCAGCACGGCTCCCAGTGCTGGGCGCAGAAGCGCCTGAGCCGTAGGTCTGAAGGGTCTGGGCTGGCGTCGGCACAAACTGTGTGCTCGTGCGAGACGGAGGAGACGAGCCTCCCGAAGCCGTTGTATGGGAATAGGGACCTGTATCTGATACCATCCGCCCACCCTTGTTTCCGTGTCCTGGGTGGTACATGCTACCAGCGTACGGGGCCATCTGGGAAGGGTCGTGGTAGGATGGTGCGTGTATGCTATTGGCGCGATGATGTCTGACCTGCGACGCTTCTCCCGGAGCACCGTAGCCTGCTTGAGGTGCGTACACGCCAGGCTGCACTATTACAGGGACCAAGATCACAAACACGCAGAAGTCACGCTGGATACAAGTCGCGCACCATCATAAGTATAGTTTGGAGGCGGCGGATAGCCCGACACCGCATAGTTGTTTGCTTGCGACGTCCCGTGGGCTTGAACGGGAACGCCGCTTGTTGGCGAATAATACGGGTCTCCGGCGTTCCCTGACGCAAGGCCGGAAGGTACATGTGGCTGAGTATCCGTGGACGCGAAGGAGGTATAAGGAAGCTCCTCAGCACCGGAGCCACTAGAGTATGATGGACGCTCCATGAGTCGCTGAAAGTTTCTGCAAAGATAGGGATTATAGGTCACTGTACTCACCAAGGCACGAGCCTATCCTTTATATCATGTCTACGAGATTTAATGTTCCGAATATCTCAAGAGGCCGAATACCGTCAAAGGTATGTTGCGGCAATCGGCGTTCAGCATCGTGGGCAGATCCTGGTGCTCAGCCGAAGAAGGGCAATTTGGCAGCAAAACTGTCATCAGCCCAATCAAGTGAAGAATAAAACCAACAATGTAAGCGCGAACTTTTCGGGTCAGAGTCGACAGCAATACATTTTTGAGGCTGCGAGTTCCTGGAACAGGCAAGGTAGTTGTCAATGGGTTAGATCATAACGCTAACCCGTATCCAGACAAGCGTTATTTTTAGTCTCCTGGCTTCTTTCTGCGGGATCGTCATTTGATTCGCCTTCTTCCATTAACTAGGCGACGCTCGCCGTCATAGGCCGGCAAACCAAGCACCGGTGAATAAAGGCAGGATGGCAATTAACAGACTTCTCGAATGTAACTGAAATGCGGGGGGGTTTTGCCACAATTGCTCGACATTTGTGACTGAGTCCGTAGGTAGAGGCGCTGTGATTTGGCAGACGGATCGTATCCAGGTCCGTGTTAATACTATGATGCAAGCAGCCGCTATCGTATCCAAGACCTTGCTATGATGCAAACACTAGTAGGAATTCTCTCATCCTACGCAGGGACTCTAGGCGAACGTAACAGCCAAGGGAGACCAAGGAAAGAATTCTGCTATGCCAAACTGGAAGCTCTTCACGATCCCAAGAGCAGGAGTGACGCTTGCAGCTGCAATTTCAAGACATTAAACAGTCAGTACTTCTCTAGTACTGATCCCGGCATAGAAAAGAGTGCCGGGTGCTCAGCTTGCGGCCGGAACTTGTCAGAGGGCCACCCTGTCGTAGTGCAACGACACTGGCAGGTAACAGGCGATCCAGGACAGGCTCCAGAATGGGCAATCCATACGCCCACCCTGCGGCGCCGCGAGAACGACCGTACTCGGCGGCGTGTAGGGCCCGGCTGCCACTTTTCTGCGATTGAATCGCGGGCGAGAGGCTGATTGCTCCGTACGATATTACCAGAAGGGCAGGACTCAGGTAATCCATCTGCTCAGGCCGGTGATGCTCTTCGGTCCAATCCGGAACGGTGAGATAAGCAGCTCAATCCATCGCCCTCGACTCCTGCTGACACCTGCTTGGAAGGACGACCGCATTGAGAGAAGTGTGCCGGGTTATCAGCCGTGGAAACTAACCTTGTCCTTGTATTATGATGCCAGCCCGGCCCACCGAAAGGGCCAAAAACATTCTTGTGTGCGTACTACATGTTGTCCTGAGATATTACATGTTGTCCTGAGATATTCGGGTACCAACCAGTCTTCATCGTGGGGGGACGCCCATCTGTCGGTTTGATACTACTCTGCGGGGCCCGGAAGTGCGTAAATAAAAACGATGACGGCAAGAGGGCAATACATCGCACCTGGAGCTCGCGAAGGCTAATTGCCTCGGTTGACACCAGAGCAGCCAATCGCAGGAACGAGGCAGAGGACCGCGCATATCGAGCAAGCTGCACCGTCTGAAGAAGGTTACTCCACGGTGCAAGTATTTCACCGCTTGCAAAGCAGTCCCCTGCATGCCGTCCATCTAGCACAAGAAACTATAACAGACCAAGAGCCGTCACGGCTCACCATGAGATAGGGAGGATACATCCTCGAACAACTATGACAACGATGATGTGTTACCGTGATTTTGGACAGCACACATGCACGCACGTTCACGTGGTGCGCGCTCTTCGCATGGAACGCCGTGTGGGTACGTGCTATGCGCCAGAGTACCGTGCCCAACCAGCTGAAAATGCGACGAGCCTGATAGCGGCACTTCTCTATATCGGAAAAGTCTAATAATCCATTATGTTAACAACGAATCATGACCAGCCGATCTGGAGACTCACAGCGCCTTGAGGCACCTGCCTGAATCAGGCATCAGATAAAATTATCTAATCTGTATTCATTGCAGCATATTCGCGCTGCTACGGAGTGAGTGGACACTGTCATATACAGGTACGAATCAAATGTTGCGTTCCGATTCCTGCTCCAGGAGCCGGCGGCATCGGTGCTAGGCACTTATAGTTGCTAGCCCTCGTAACATTAACCATGGACAGCAACCACAAGTGACATCAAAATTTCCTGAGGAACAAGTATCCAACATCGAGAGAGATTATCAAATGGAAGACTGACGGGAGAGGGAGAGGTTGCGCGCAGATGGTTCGAGGAGGGAAAAGTGGCTTGAAGGCCATCATACTGTATACCAAACACGGCACAACAAAGGTCCGGAACTGACTCTGGCCTTCTAACTCGCACTTCGACTCTGCTCTAAGCTCGCTTCATCTACACTCGTGATGGCTCCCTTTGACTTAGATGCATGCATAGAGCAACTAATGCGGAAGCAACTCCTGCATGAAGCGCTGCTACGAGAAATATGTGAGAAGACGAAAGAGGTGTTAATGCGAGAATCGAATGTCGTACATATCAGCGCGCCTGTAACCGTGGTCGGGGACATTCATGGGTGAGTCGTGAGTCCAAACCATGTAGATTGGTCTCTCATTTAGCTTTCTTAAGTCAGTTCTACGATTTAATCGAAATCTTCCGGATTGGCGGTTATGCACCCCACACAAATTACCTTTTCCTCGGTTCGTCCTAGTCGTCAATTACCGGTCGACCAGTTAATACTGAAGTGTCCACGTAGGTGACTACGTGGACCGAGGGCTTTTCAGCGTGGAGACGATAACTCTTCTAACGTGCCTGAAGTTACGGTACCCTGATCGTGTGCAGCTCATTCGAGGAAACCATGAATCACGCGCGGTGACAACAGTACGGTGCTCAACTTATTTTGGCTAAGACCTTCCTAGCTGATGCTTACAGACGTATGGATTCTACACCGAATGTGTGCGAAAATATGGATCTTCGCACGTCTGGACATACTTCACGGACATGTTCGATTTTCTGACATTGTCCGTTGTGATCGACGATCGGATATTTTGCGTCCACGGAGGTGACATCCTATCGGTTGAAATTTTAATGTATAACTGACTCCTGCTCCCATTCAGGGCTTTCGCCGTCAATACATTCAATAGACCAGATCAAGGTTGTAGATCGCTTTCGGGGTAACGCCATCGTTGCATTTGAGTGCCTTTTTGCGTAACTCATGCGATATTAGAGATACCACATGAAGGCCCAATGGCAGATTTGGTGTGGTCAGATCCGGACCCTGAAAAGGAAGATTTCGCTATTTCCCCGCGGTGAGTCGACATTCCGGAACGGATTATTGTCCATTCCCTGAGTATTGCCAGGGGGGCTGGTTACACCTTCGGCTCCGGCGTAGTCCACAAATTCTTGGAGACAAACAACATGGGTCATATTCTTCGGGCGCACCAGCTGTGTATGGAGGGGTTCGCGTCATTATTTGACAAGCAATTATCAACAGTATGGTCAGCACCCAACTACTGCTACAGGTGTGGCAACTCGGCAAGCATATTGGAAGTGGGTCCCGGCGAAAGCATGTATTTCAATGTTTTCGAGGCTGCACCAGAGAACGATAGAGACGGGCTAGCTCAAGCGGCTCAGAATGCCGGTGGCAAGGTGGGCTTGTCCATCCTGGTATTGCCATACGTACTAAACAGCACTTCGGGGTAGTTGCCGGAATATTTCCTTTAGGCCGGTGCTATCGCCAGATCGTGTCATATCGCGCCCTGCACAAATCATGACTTTCGACGATGGGCGGTAGGACTTTGGTTCGCCCGATGTAAATACTTAAGTGGAACCTTGATACCCGATGATATTATTGTTACGCTGTACCGCCATATGTTTAGTTTCGTGCTATAGCACTACTATGCCGCCCAATACGAGGTCGCGATGTGGCGTTGGACAAGACACCAGTAGCGGCCCAAGCTTCGAAGATCGACAGCTATCAGGATATCTGTGCTTGGTCCGAATCTACTTATACCGAAACAAGGTATATTCGCAGTCGGCGCCATGGTGCTCACCGGCCCGCAGCAATACCCTGAGACACTCGGAAACAGTAAAAAAATGACAGGCATTGCGCCCGAGTGCATTTGTGCTATGCAGCCACTGTTGAAGCCGGAAGATGTCAGAAGCCGTTCAATGTGCTAAAATCCAATTCCACCACGCCAGTCTCCAAGGCACCGCTTCGAAACTCGACCTTTGACTTCGTCCCGGTCTCCATCCACGGCTCCGTGCCACAACCATGACCACAATCGCACACAACCCCATGCCGATATATGATTTATAGCGCTCCCAAAACAGCAACGCTAGGGTACGTAAGAGATCCCTGGTATTCCGACGGCTCGTGTGCGTTCTGGGGCTAGTAGACGTTGGGCGATGCGTTTGGTAACGAGGGTTCCTCGTACCCATTGCTGACGCTGAGGAGTATTCCGAGGTGGGGAATCCCGATGATGGCCCTGGTTCCTTACCAGAAGCAGACGGTGCTGTTGAAACGGGAGGGCGACGGGGAAGGGGCGACGGCGTTGCTTGGAGATCGAGAAGATTTGGTAGGTCAGATATCGCTGGAAGGTGACCCCCGAAATCTATGCGATAAGCGGGTCATTCGGATGAGGTAGTCGTACACACAATAAAGTACGTTGGATCGTACCTTCTGGAAGCGAAGAGGGGCTGAAGAACGACAGGAGTTCCTCGTCGGTCGGGAAGAACACTTTGGACAGAAGACTCTCTGGGAGGGTGTGTCTATGGTGGCTGAGACTCGTGTGTCGAAATAGATGGAAGCAACTCACTTCGCTACATTCCATACTCCAGAATAAGCCCAGCTATAGTTGAGGACGAGAGCTATAAGTAACAGCGGATAAATGCCAAAGGGGAGCATCAGCGAATAACAGCCTTACCGGCAGCAATCAATCCCGGGTAGCGCGGATGTACCTCGCGCAGAAACCAAGTCAAGAGGTCCACGCTCTGGGATAACATACGAATCAACGAGAGATGTACGAGATACACGAATAATGTACCTCACCAAGTCTTTGATCCCTGCCCCCTTGAGATCAATAAGAAGGACGCATTGCAAGATGGGGTCCCGAAACTCAGATGCGAAGTCGGAATTTACGACTCTTAAGAACTCTCTAAGTCTATCCATCGAATACATGAGACTTCGTTTAATATTGGTATGGCCTTGCTGGAGAGATGCCAGCTTTAGGATTACGATAGGACGGTAGAAGGGATCACAAGCCTCCGGAGGGAGGCAGACAAGGTGCGAATCTTCATTTTCGGGTATATGCTCGGGATATATCGTGAGGCGCCATACGAGAACAGACCGCAGAGACTCAATTGTAAACGACGGGGTAAACTTGTGCCGCTTGGGTTGATACGCATAAGCCAAGTACCTACGCGACTGCATGTGCGAGAGAGCACTAACCTTGAACATGCGAAATATGTTTTCTGAATCAAGAAAGTGACGTTCTTCACTTGTAATAAAATATGCGGTATGAAACTTACGAGTGTCTTTCAGCCAATTCCTCGCCCAACATTCCCCATCTTCGTCCAGTCCGAGCTCATCAACCACACCAGGCAGGATATACTCCGTAAGAGTATTTTGCAAGGACTGGACAGTCTGAAGATGCTTCCGGTAGAGGGCGTTCAAAACCTCGCATTTCGACTGCAGCAGTACATGGAGATCACTCATGGTCGTTGGGTGGCAGCGTCAGCCACCGAGCTGATCCATGGGCCAGGTTAGGGTAACGACGCGACTTGCACGTGTTTCTGATACTTCAGTTCTCCCGCTCAGTGTGAGTCTCCCGCTGGCGAACACTTCAGCTGACCGAAGGAGGACGTGTACGGGGAGTCCCCGCCTTCGAGCGGTCTGGATCATGAACTTGATGTAACATTGTAAGTATTGGAGCAGGTATCGAGACAATGCTCTAGTATACTAGTAGTAGTACTACCGTCTTGACTTCTTTCCCGAAACGCCACGCCCGCTTGTGTCGTTTGCCTTCCTCTTGCCTCCTCCTTGTGGCGCCATAGACCTTAACTTATCGAGAGTGCCCTTCAGTATCCGCTTCTCCCCCAGCCGAACTATAACGGCATGCTTTCTATTCAGACTTAGGCCTCCTATGCGTTCAGGCGATAAAAGACCCTCATCCTCCTGGCTCTGCTATTATGCGATGTTATTCTGTACAGACAACAGATTACACACCTCAATAGTGGTAGGATATTGATTGAGTCGTTGGTCCAAGACTTTCAGCCCGATGGAAGCAATGGTAGGGTCCAGTTTTCCTTTCGGCAGTTTGTTCTTCTTTCTGGCTTTTTCCCACTCGTTTTGCGGTAATTGGAGGAGTCGAATGAACGATATGCAGTCTTCGGGTAGCTCCAGCTCTTTGTCTAGGACAAAGACACTACGGCGCGAAGGATTCACGTCAACCGGTCATCAACTTGTTCATTGATGGATACTCACTCATCGCCACCTTGATCTAGCCACCAGTCTATCCTCTCTGACGTCTCCCCTGATTGGATACCTGACAGGCATTCAACGACAAGATCTGCCCTGACCTCGACAATATCCGCAGGATTTCCTTCACCACCTTCCGGTAGCGGTATTATGTCCACGTGCCCATATCGGCGGAGAAGATCTGAATTGGGCGGATCCCCATATGTGTTCCACTATAAAGCAGTGAGGTTCAGTACATCCGTAAGACCAGTGATAGGATGCACCTACAATTTGCTCACCCGCTTTGATTGGTTTCGTGGTGACCATCCGTAAATCATGTTTCTCATAAAAGAGTTTCGCCTAACGCAGAGAATAAGACAACACCAATCAGGGCGGAAAAAGCGACACACGTTTTCGGAGCCGTAGCGGGCATTCAGCATATCCGCCAGTGGGACCATGGCGACGTCCCCCACGTCTTCCTCATCTTCGTCTTCACTAGCTTCGCTATCCTCAGCTTCCGGATATTCGCTTCCGGTGGTTGTCGGGGCATTAGGGTCTATCAATTGAGGCGCTTCGTCCACATCCATGCCGTTCTCATTGGTGTCCCCGACGTTGTCTTCTTCTTCTTCATCTGCCGCGTTTTCCACGTGAAAACTTCGGGACAGGATACGGCTACCGTTTATATGGTATCGTTCTAGTGAGTAATATGTCGAGATCTGATCCTGTGGGAAAAGGTCTGGGCGAGTCTGTAAGCACTGTCAAATTGGCATCTGTAACAAGACTCGAATCAGACATACCTGCAGACATGGCAATAATCTATCACGGTAGTCTCTTTCAGCGTCTTCCTTGCCTATCTTGTCTACGAATGATAAGAATAAGATATTGCCACACAAAGAGTGGTATCATGACATACCGAAAACAGCAGTGGCCTTTAGTTCCTGGAGGTCCTCCTCAGCCCAGAACATGGGCGTATCAAACACGTTGGGTAATATGTCTCATATATTCTCAGTTTCATTCGTCTGCGGGTATATGAAGACTTACTCAAGTAACCTGACCACTTGGAAGAGGTGCCCTGTGCTTCCTCCCACATCATGCATAAAATCAGGCCAACCCAACCTTTACCCAAACCATGTTTATCCCAGAGAGCCTGGCCGATCAGTCCAGGCAAAGCCGAGTTACGCGTGGATAAAGTCAAGCCTCGTGGGATAGAGAACAGAACATGCCCTTCCTTTTGAGAGGCTGCAGCAATCAACCCTGGGACATGCTAATGCTAGATGAACATCTGAACTTACGGGAATATCTCTTTTAGCTACGGCGCCGCGGCCATGTCCCTCAATATCAGCAAGCTTGATCGAGAACGAGTCCAATGATCCGCCTTGTGATTCAAACCACGACAAGAGCGTGTCCATTACACCAGCGTAGGATATTCGAGGTGCTGGTTACAGACCGCAGTGCTAAGGCGCTTCCCCGATGAAGAAGTGCCCAACAAACGTGGGAACTGGCGTGTCGAGGGTTGCACGATCGGGTCGGACGTTTCCGAGTCGGACGTCCGACGTCGACACTTCAATTCTCTTGGGTTTCGTGAATTACTCGGAAGCACTGCAACGAAATGTAGCCTTGCATTTACTCCTACCATTGGAAGGCCTAGGATAGCCTAGGATCTGGGGATGCTCTTGTACGGGGCCATATACAAGCAACGATGTGGTTACAAGTGGATCATATTACGCAGTGTCTACAATCTAGGCGAACCTTACATCTTGCTGGTAGGCTCGTTCTCAACTCCAAATATTTTCTCACCTTGCTCCTTCCACCATTTTTCTACTTCTAAATCAGCGTCATAGCTGAATTGTACGAAGTTCTTTGTCTTGTCCGCCCACTGGTTGGCGTTGCCCTCTGTCGCGTCAATATCAATCTCCCCCAGTTCTGCCCGCATAGCTTGTTTCATGGACGCGTCCCTCGCCTCCTGCTCGGGGCCGTCGTGATAGTGAAATATCTTCTGATTAAGACGAGCAGAGGCTTGAGTCGCGGACGCGCGAGGGTGACGAAGAGCTTGATATGCTTGCAACAGGGCAGGCACTTGTGACCGATCAGTGAGCCTCGACAAGAGGTTGCCGATCACTGCGCCGTCTTCTATCTATATATAACAGTGAATATCCGAGGGAGGAAGAAATACATGGTCAAGTCTCACAGCCATGGCTGAACCTTGCGCGCGATAAGGCTGACAGGATAATGTGTTAATTTTACTCCCGAGGAGATCGTGCAAGAGGCATACCAGCATGGGATGACACGCATCACCTAACAAGACGACCTTGCCTTCGGAGTGTACCCAGGTATCCAATGGAGCCCGATCCATAAGCTTCCATTGTAGCGCAGTCTTCACATGGCTCAATAATTTCACTACTCTAAAGAGGCAGACTATCAGTCGGTTATGGACTAGTGATCGGACGTTCCGCGTACCTGGGTTCCCACCCGATAAAATGCGACCTCATCTTGTCAGCGCTGCCTTCGGCCGTCCAGGACTCAACGGAACCGTCATCGGGGTGTATCATAACCATATTATACTCTTTCTTGCCACGCTGAGTAAACTGAATTAGACCTTCCAAACCATCCTGGCATTCGAACGGAGACTTACGATGCAATACGCCATAATATGCTTGTCAGGACCCATCCAACCGCACATCTCGGGTGTGTCTACCAGAGGTTTGAGAAGAGGATCTTTGATCATAGGTTTAGTACTGATGATTGCCCTGTATGCTGCATCCCCGGTCGGTACCGGTTTATCAGGACCACCAACAACTACTTCGCGAACTAAGGACTTGATGCCGTCGGCTCCGATAATCAAGTCCGTCTTGATAACCTCTCCAGACATGAGTGTGACGGTTGGAATGGTAGGATCGACGGCCACCACTCGAGAGCTCAGCCGAAGATTCATGAACGGTGTCGCCAGATCAAAAAGGAGCTTATGTAGATCAGCTCTCTGAAATGGAGTTCAATCAAGTACATTTGACAACCTGGAGTGCCAACGTACGTGGATGTGATAGTAAGGGGATCCATGGTCTTTCTCCATGCGATCGCCCCACCGGGTGTATGCAACACGTTCTCCTGTTTTCCCTGCATAATACGATATTAGTGGCAGCCGGAATGGAAGGAATATTCCAGGCACTGAGACTGACATCTGTGGAAAGCAAGCGCTTCGGGTTTAACCGTGATTTCCTTCAATACCGGACCCAGTCCCCAGCGAATTAATAGCCGCGTAAGGTTTGGTGTAGTCTGGATACCTGCACCGACTTCACCGATCGCGGGCGCACTCTCTAATACGGTGATCCTATGCCCCGCTTGCCCAAGGCAGAATGCTGCAGCCAGGCCGCCCAAGCCACAACCGACTATAACTATGTCCAGGCAAGCCTTGGCTTTGCGTCCGTCATAAAGAACTTTGTGCTGATAGACGAGATAAGAGGTCAGCAGATAGAAGGAAGAATCAGGGCGCGTCAAACCTCTGCTAGCTTGATGGCATCCTCTACCATGGATGCAGCCAAAGGCTTGAGAGGAAGTAAGTCGTCCTGAATAAAAACCCGTAAGGGGAGTTCTGCGCGTTCACTGCAAGACTCCTACTCACTACCTTCGATATCGACATGCTGAGATGTAGTCGCTGAGAGGAAGAGAGCCAACCACAGAGCAATATTATCCGCAATGAACTTTAAGGGCTCCCTCGGAAAAGCATTTTGCTCGTTTAGCAGAGAACTGATACCTGCAAGTACCATGGTAAGGGTAGTGGCATCAAAAATCCCAGGAGGGGGTTCCGATATGCCTACCTATGTGTCTTAGAAGGTCAGTTGAGTATGGACATGCGAAGACCGCGGTGGATGGACGGTCGGCGCCGAACATATCGACGGGGCGCTCCCAGATAGAGCTTACCGGCTACCTGCGTCGGCCGAAGAGGTTCACGTAAGGACCACGTCGGCGACCCAAGTATCTGAGCTTTTGCATCATGTATCTGGTCTTGTATAGCAAGCATAGAGTATTTTCTGAGCATAAGTCCGCCCAAATTCCGAACTTGCATGTAGACGGTTCAAGAGTCGTATGTCCGCTTTATATCCGGAGTGAAAGTTGAGGAATGAGGATGTCGTTTCTTCTCACAGATACACGCCGGGTGGACTGTATGTGGCATATCGAGCCTTTGATAATATATTGGCCAAGTTAAGGCCGAAGCCCCCGACGACAACGGACTACATGACTATGACAATGTGAGAACGTCGGTTCTATAGCGCCAGATGATACCTCCATATTTATAGGCCTTGATAAACGGCGCACCTCCGCGTCTATGTTGAGTGAGCTCCGGGCCTTCTGGGATGCTGCTCAGAGTCAAGGAGGGAATGACAAGAATCCCTGTACAGTATAGTAATAGGACTGGATCGGGCGGTCTGGAGTGCTCGTGCACGTGGCAACCCGCTCTTCCCCGCTCTCCCTCGAATAATGCCGAGTTCTTCCTACTAGTACTAAGGCTCGGTATATTGATGGAGCTCGTTGAAGAACTCTTACCATCACAGGCGGACTGTAGATAAGTAACTTCAACGTAAATGGAGCTCAGTATTTGCTTAAAACTCAGGTAGAATCTAGGTAGACTAAGTTCCGGAAATGGTGTATGGAACTCTAGACTTTTGCAGACTAACCTATGACACGGTAGTACCGGTGCAGCCCCTTGTGAGGTGCATGTCTGGTTACCTACCTACGCGCACTTTGCCTACAAAGCCGTGTTATTGTCCGAACTGTTGGCGCATTCCCCCCGATGTTCCTACTACCTCGAGTACCTCAGAATTCTAGGGACCTCACAAAAACAGCTTCATGGCTTCCCTACGTTGATTCATCAGGGAGAATTTGCGCGTCGTCGTATCCATTATGATATGATACAACACGCCACGGGATAGTACTGCAGGTGCCAGTGATAATTACCTTCAGACATGAGCCACTGATATTACCACAGGTTATGGCAGATCTGATCATTGGCGATAAAATTGTCGTCCGTGTATGTTAAGTATATTTTCATGGACATAAGTGTGCGGGACTACAGTCCTGAATCCGGGCGTACATGCGGTAGGTATGATTGCATTCTCCTGCCACGATGGACCCTTACTTCCAAGCAGAACCTATGGGCTGCCGCCGTTAGGTTGTTCTGGAGAGGCCCATGTAGGGTTTCCTTGAGGATGGGAATACGTCACGTTGCTGCCTTCGGTAGCGGAAGGCTTCTCCGAGGAGTTCGATTCATTTCTCAATAATAGGGCAGTTTGATGCTGCAGTCGACCCGGTGACGTCCTCCTTTTATCAGAGAGTGCCTGGGCGTATTTCGCTTCTACTTCTCCCCCGGTTCCAATTCTATCTTCCAGTCTTGCTGCCACATGATAGACGGTTCTCTGGTCCACGGACCGAGCACAATCAGTCAGACGCGCGGCAGAGTGCTACTCCCGCGAGGCAGACACTAGAACTCAGACTGACGGCAGCGTTACCGGTTTCTTGGGCCATTACTTCCGGAGTCAATAGCAGGGACTGTTTGATTGCAATTAGCATGGATGATGATCGTCTGGAACCGGTTTGTTTCCTGTAGCTATGCAGAGGGAGCGGGGTCTGAACCTTGCTAGGATTCAAGATTAATTCAGAGAAACTGCTGTGTGAGTCTTGGTTCTTCAATAGACTCCGCGTCCAGGGCCTCCTGCCACTCAGCTCGGCAATATAACCGTTAGCCTTTAGGCACTGCAATATGCACCGAACTCTAGGCGTCAACCAATGCACTTGTCCCGTGGAAGTAGGGCAGACGTCATGGCTGAAGGTTATTCGGCTCGCATTATCAGTTAGACTCCCCCGGCAGTTGCATGGTCGCCTCCACACTCAGGCACCCTATGCTAGTGAATCGATTTTCTGCGAAGCTCATCTGGTTCTAGTGAAGTTCCCCATCGTCAGTTGTGCTAGTGCACGACGGCCTCATATCAGACGGTGCTAGGGTGAGAATGGGCGAGCAGAACATAACATTCTGGTGAGGTAAGGGGGCGGGAAATGATATTCTTCGGCTAGTAATTCGACGGGGAAAATACTCTTCCTGATCAAGAAACCTGGAAGGTCTATTTTGATTTTCGTTCCCTACCTGTTATATATTCCACTGCTGACGAGCGGAACCCGCGGAGACCATAGGACGTAGCCTCGTTGATTCCATCCACGTCAACCACACAGATTTCGTCTTTCCGGAAGCCATTCGGGCAGCGCAAGCCCAGTCAAATTATTAACCTTCTATATAGGCGACTTAATGACTTCCGATGCAAGGCAGGTTGGCTGGACAGGTGGCAGGCGGTAAGGCACGAGAATAAGTGCACAGACGGGAATCAATGCCTGAAACAATGAATGAAACGACCCTCGCACCACTAGTGGCGCTCGCCACGGAATGGTCCATATAGCAGTCTGTCACCAAACTCCTCGCCGGATGCCTGAAGAGGAGGGAGCAAAACTACGCCAAGCTAGTAAACCCGGGGTAAACAGTACATAAAGGGTAAAACAAACAGTTAGATGTAACATCTGCTTGAGCTAATCGGGCGCCACGGAAAGCTCATATAGGCTGTCCACGTTCAATTCACAGACAACTTGGGGAGCTCAGGAGAGTGTACTCCCCGTGCCACAGGCCTTCGACGCTTTCGTCGGTCCTTCTTCTCGGGACTTACCGGCCTCCCTCGTGGGTACATGTATCGGAATTCTATGCCGCCGTGAGGAACGAGCAGAGGCATAGAATATAGACTTTGTATGAATGTGAGCGTTACGCAGGTCACAGTGACAGCTCCTGCTTTCGACGGCGACGACGCGCTCACTCAAGCGCGCTATATGGGCTCCACATAGGCTACCTTTTGCTTTTCTGGGCTCCAGCTTATGGATAATTCGCCTGGAGTACTGTTCACTGTGCTGGCTTACCCAAAAATGCGTCACCTGCGCCCCTAATCTTGGGGAGTTCGGGTACCGACTTGAGCAATACAAGCGAGAGCAGAAGCAGCAGGCGAGCTGGAGTAGAGCGGTGGATGCGCCTTCAAAGATGCTGCTCCCCGAACCGCGTCGCTGGCGCTCCTAGTCAGTGGCAGCTCCGGGAAAACTGCAGCACCAAGGATGTCACCCGTTTGCACCAAGGTCAGTCCTTGTACCACCTCTGTTACTCATCTGTTCCCCATGGATAGAGGAGCATCGATGCACCTCTGCGTGCGCTCTCCTATGCTTGCAGCTATGCCCATCCCCATTTTGGGCACTGCACCTCACACCGCCCCGCACCTTGCACCTCACTGCACCTCGCACCATGCACCTCTCGCCTCACACCGCACTGCACCTTGGCC